ATTTTCAAATCCCTTTGCGTCCTCAGGACAAAAAATTTACTGGGTTTCTGCATGGGACTCAAACTTATCGATTTACCGTGCTTCCTTTTGGGTTGAAGACCGCAATATCCTCTTTCTCAAGAGCAATGAGCCTCGTGCTAGGCCCGGATTTTCGAAGTTTTGTTGTAGCCTATGTAGACGACTTAGTTATTATTTCGGAGACACTCGACGATCACCTGCAGCATTTAGATCGCGTGTTTACAAGACTTTCACAAGCGGGATTTACCTTGAGGTTAAAAAAATGCCAATTTTTGCGTACTGAGATGTCTCTGTTGGGTTATATCATCAGTTCGGAGGGAATTCAGTCCGATCCATCGCGGGTACAAGCTATACAGGATTTTCCGGCCCCTAAAAACCCAAAGCAGGTTCAAGCGTTTTTAGGCTTGTGCAACTACGACCGTAGTTTCTGCGAAAACTTCTCGGCTCTCGCGGAGCCCATTTTTCGACTAGTGCGGAAAAAATCCAGCTGGAATTGGGGTTTGGAGCAACAAACAGCGTTTGGCGAAATAAAAAAACGTCTATCTCAGAACATCCTTTTGTTTCACCCAATTCCAGGCGTTCCATATGGGGTACAGACAGATAGCTCGGATTTTGGTTTAGGGGCGCAGCTGTTTCAGGAAGTAGATGGCCGGAAACAGGTAGTAGCTTACGCTAGCAGACTCCTTTTGGACCGCGAACGGGCCTATTCTGTTCCTGAAAAGGAGGCTCTGGCCGTGGTGTTTGCGCTAGATAAGTGGAGAGTGTACCTTTTAGGGACTAAATTTTCCATTTGGACCGATCATCGAGCGCTATCCTACCTAAATACTTGCCGACTCCTGGCTCCTCGGATCACTCGCTGGATTTTGGCATTGCAGGAGTTTGATTTCGATATTCGTTATATTCCGGGGAGAGATAATGTCGTACCAGATATTCTATCGCGGCATCCACCTTCGCGACCTCCTGCGCCGGCCGACAAGTGTTTTAGAATCTTGGCTACGTCGATCTCTTTTCCAAAAAACTTTTGTCAAGACCTACCGTCCTTGATTCAAGCTCAACGGACCGACTCTAAGCTGTCGGATATTATAGATAACATTAAAAACTCTGCGAATAGTGACAACAGGTTCATAATTCATAATGAATTACTTTTTATGCGTCGCTCAGAGGATCAGCCTTGTCTTATCTGTGTACCGCATGTTTTAATCCCGGATTTTATTCTGGCCTTCCACGAGACCCTGGGTCATTTTGGGGTATTCAAGACATGGGTGGCTCTTAAGCGCGAGGTATGGTGGCAGAATATGCATCGAGATGTCAAACGGGTATTACGTTCATGTGAATTGTGCCAGAAAACCAAGCAGTCGTCTATGCCTAAACCTTCTATGGGGTCTATAATACCAAATCGAGTAAACGAGTTCCTATCCGTAGATTTCTACGGCCCATTACCCAGATCTAGGGCCGGAGTGACATACATCTTTGTGGTTTTAGATGTTTTTTCTAAATACCTGAGCCTCTATCCCCTTAAAAGAGCAAACACATGTAGTATTATTCGTTGTTTCGAGCGGGATTATTTCCCCAAATTTGGGAAACCTGCTGTGATCCATTCAGATAACGGCACCCAATTTATTTCTAAGCAATGGTTGAAATTTTGTGATTCCAGCGGTATCAAAATTTCCCATAGTTCCGTTAGACACCCAGAAGCTAACCCCGTTGAACGTAGCATGCGGGAGCTGGGCCGACTATTTAGGTTATACTGCCATACGAAACATACTGGTTGGGCAAACGAGGTTCCTCGCCTTGTCGAAATAATCAACTCGGTAGTGCACGAGAGTACAGGTTTCACGCCTAGCGAACTTCAGACGGGTGCGCCGCCTCCTTTATTTCTTCGCGACATCGTCGATTTTCCTCAAAAGCCTCCTGATCTGGATGCTCATGTTAAATTATTTTTGGCAAAGGAAGCATTGTTTTCCAAATCCTCCAGACGACGTATCGCCCAGAAACGAACCACAAACATTGATCTTGGACCAGGGGACCTAGTTCTTTTAAAAGCCAATCCTATTTCCTCGTTGCTTAACGCCGAAACTAAGAAATTTATGTTACTATTTGAGGGTCCATATCGGGTTAAAAAACGCGTCGGACCGGCTACTTTTATTTTGGAAAATCCCACTTCCAGAACTGAGCGCGGTATGTTCCATAGTTCCCACCTTAAAAAATATATACAAATTCAAAAAAATTAATAATTTCTTCTTTGGGGGACTAAATTTAATATTGAAAATTAACCTTGTAGCTCCGTAACTGTTGGTTGTTGCGTTACTACAATGTAGGGGGCAGGTAAAGCGGAGCGCATTTCCGTCCACTATTAGGCAACCTATATTACGCCGCGCAGCCGCATATTCAAACAATTTAGCGCGTAATTTATATGAATGAAATTTTTTGTGGCCCTTTCACCAGCCATCTTAATTAATAATCATTCGATCGCCGCAAAGATCCTGATAAGCCGCTGTGTTGCGTTTAAATGTGTGAATTGTTTAATTATTGCAACCGCAGTGTCTTGATCTTGCTTAGGTAAGTTATTAAGACATAATAAGGGGTCTGCTCGATAATTGATTATTATTTTACCTTTGCTTAGATTGAGTTCGTTCGCTAAGACTAATTGTAGAAAATCATCTGTTGGGTTATTAAAAGTGGAGTTGCAAGGACCCAGTGCGTTTAGTTTAATTCCTTCATCCAGCGACACCCTCCTTACACCCTGAGATAATCGGACACCTTACTGTGTTCCGCTACAAGGGCAAAACTTCATTTTGATGAAATTATGCCAAATGCCACAATGGAAGAAAAAGTACATCGCCTTATGGACATTTTTGGAGTAAAAAAGTAACGAATTTGGTTTTATAAATATTACATCACACATTATTTTCACATTATTCACCATTGGAAAACATTTAAGTTCACAACAAATTTTAATTCCTTTTATATAAATTCTTTTCAAAGATTATTATCCGCTAGGAATACTCAACTAAAATGGGCAATAGCCAGAGAATTGGTTGGTTAGTTTACAAACTAGCTAAAGCTTGGCTATTTTGTGTTACTAGAAATTTTGGTTTTCATATTAGCCAAACTGAATTGGATAGTATACAAACTATCCAGCTATTTTAGTTTCCCTAATAATTTCAAGTAAATTAGCCAAGATCCTTGGTTATTTTGTAAACTAGCCGTTAATTTAGTTGAAAATATGTTTTCAATTAAAATAGCTGACAGTTTGGCTAGTTTATAAACTATCCAGTTGGTTTATAAACTATCCAAGTTTGCACATTAGCCGTAACATACAGGGCGGTCCAGGATTAATCTGAAAAATTTTAATGATAGATAGAGCCTGAAAAAACAATACAAAAAAAACCCAAAAACATTTTTTTTAAATGCATACTAACGGAGATATAGTCCTTTAAAATAATTTTTAAACCATTAAACCGATTCTTCTCAAATTTTGTGTAGGTTAAGCTTCCGTCGATAATATAATGAAAATTTCCTACAAAAGGCCCAGTGGCGAAGATTCTGGGGGGATTCCCCTTTTTACCCTCATATTTTTGACGCCACTGGATTTTATTAGAAAATCATCAGAAAATCATTTATTTTTATCCTTTTTCAATGTAAAAGCAAAACTTTTATGTTAATTTTTTATCAGATCAAGGGTTTCGGAGATATTTCAGTTTAAAATTTCAAAAACACTGTATACACGGAACTTTTGTTATTATTTTAGTAATAAAAATGATTTTTTTTTGAACGATTGTATTGGACCAATAAAAATTTACCAATGAAATAATGGAATAATCGCTTTCAATAGGGTGATTATTCGATGTTGCTAAACTGATAACGTGGCATAATTATTACCAAGTTACCGATTTAAAATAAAATATTATGATAAAAATCTGTATACTCGGTGATTTTGAAATTTAAAAGTCAAATATCTCCGAAACCACTGATCTTATGAAAATTTAACACACAAGTTTTGCTTCTAAATTGAATAGGAAATCTGATGATTTTCCAATAAAATCCAGTGGTGTCGAAATAGGGAGGTAAAAAGGGGAAACCCCCCCAAAATCACCGGCGCTGGGCCTTTTGTAAAAAATTTTACCTAAACAAAATTTGAGCAGAATCGGTTTAATGCTTTAAAAGTTATTTATAAAAAAAACGTTTTTTTGCCTTTAAAGGGCTATTAGTGTGTTAGTGTGTATTTTTGAAAAATGTTTTTGGGTTTGTTTTTATTGTTTTTTCAGACTCTATCGATTATTAAAATTTTTCAGATTAATCCTGGACCACCCTGTATATATTGTCCAGAACTATTAATGATCAGTAACTTGCAAATTGAAAGAAGAAAAAGTTTCGTGATTATTGCTTATCTTTTTTAAACCAAATGGATGCCATTTTTAAAGACAGGAAAATTTAGATTTTTCACAAAAAGGTTGAACCTAACAGCAAATAATTTTAATTTTTTTTATTTTCCCCTTATTTTTTTAAATTTAAAAAAAAAATTTATCTGCTTGGCTGAAAATAATGTGTGATTTAATATTTGTAAAACCAAAAACGTTTTTACTCCAAAAATGTCCATAAAGCGATGTACTTTTTCTGCCATTGAGGCATTTGGCATAACTTCATCGAAATGAAGTTTTGCCCTTAAAAGTTCTTTTACTTTAGAATCTGATATTATTGTTGGCATAGTTATCTTTTTATATCGATATTATATAATAATTATAATTAACAAGTAAATTATCAATAATAAATATTACTGTCAATTTGACAGTGCCAGAGTATTTAATTAAGGTCTTCAGCAGAAGTACCATTTTTTAAATAGGTACTAAAAATACTAAATCAAACGGGCATAAGCTACCAACTTAATAAAAAAAATGAACTGGACAGTCCACCGCGATTAAAATCGTTGAAAAACATAATAAAAGATAATGCGGTCAAACCTTTAATTAGGATAATCGTTTTTAATCGATATTATGGCGTAATAAATCAGGTGGTACATTTTTTTTACATGTTAAAACGTTGTTCCTCATTGACCTTGCACACGCGATTTTATTTTGTTCCGTTTTGAAAGGTCCGATTTTTTGTTCGACCGAGTTATCCATCTATAAAAATAAAGTACAATGTCAGAAAACTAATAAAAAAAATAACTAAATTTCGTTATGTTGGCAACACTGCACTAAAATAAATTTTCTGACAGTTATAAACAAAAAACCATACTTAATTCATCAAAAAATTAAATGTAAACCGTCTAAAATCTTAAATTAATGGTTCAAATGAATAAATTATCAATTTTAAATTGACAATTTAAAATAAGGTAAAGTAGACAGTTATCGGACACTTTATTATTGGACAAGAGTTCTATAAATATGTAGTTACCTTAAAGTTAAATCATTAGATTACGCTGTATACAATTATAACTATCTCAGTCGGTAATAATATAGAACTACTTTATTTTGGGTCCAATATAGGACAAAAAAGTGCGCACGTTACTTTGGTGGTAAGATTTTTGTTTTTTTGTTAAGAGCAGGGCTGTGTTTAAATTACAATAAAAAATATTTCCAAAAAGTGTACAGATCAGTGTGTGGTATAAACGTGTTCCTCATGGTTTAAACAGTGTCAATTTAATGCGTTTTAATTTTAATTCTGAATAAAAACAGTAAAATTGCCGGTGTCCAATTACTGGTTGGTAAAATTTGTAAATTTTTATTATTGGACATATGTCCAATATCATACTCTATTTATATCCCGGGCATTTACCAGCCACTTATGTAAAATTGTCCCCTGAATCCGAAAAGACCGTCAAAAACTATAAAAGTTAAGCAGTTTTTAAGATATAGTCAATTCCATATTATATGTAAGATTGATTATATTTCAAAAACTGTTCTACTTTTATAACTTTTGACGAAATTTTCGGATTTAGTGAATAATATTTCATAGGAATTGACTGCTAAATGTCCTGGATACAAATTGCTGTTGACGAGAATTATTAGTGGCTGCTTTTTCGCTTTGACATTTTTGACTGATTCATTTTTAGGGAGTAAGTAATATAGTGATTTCTTCGTCACAGGACATCTTGCAGAATAACAGTGATTTAAATACAGTGCATGATAGACAACATAAAAAACTAATGGCAACAAAATTAATAAATTCGAAAAATACTTTTAACATACCACCCGAAAAAATATTAAATATAGGTATATAAATTATCCTGTTCCGGCCTAAACATTATAAATGCTTCACAAACTAGAGATACCACACTTAATGATATTTGCAACAAGCTATTTCAGAAGTCCGACCAAGGAATTAGTAGTTACCTTCAGAATCCAGAAAAGGGATGAGGAATCCGAGAAAGAAATATATGAATTATATAATATTTACAAAACGAAATAAAAAAAATTTGATGTAAAAATTGTATGTCCAATAACTATACTTTTTTGCATGTTTTTATAAAACTATTATTAAAAATTACAATAACTAGGTATGTGGTTTACATTGTTTTTTGACAATAAATAAAGTAAAAAAATAAATAAGGTCTTACAGAAAAGATCCACTTCTTTTAACTGGGTTGACATGAAAAAATAATTGTTTTAATGAAAATAAAAAAAACGTTATTATTACCTACAAATAATAGTAATTATTATTGAAATCAATAAAATTTTGGTGTATTTCCAATTCACGTAAACCGTAAGTTGTTAAATATAAGCGTTATCTATGCTATGAGCAGATAGATAAATCGTATTTTGTTTACAATATTAAATTTGCAGTAATAAATTAAGTAGCTGGTACGAATGTTTTGAAATCTATTAAATTTACTAGATTGTTTTATTGCCTAAAAATAATAACTATTCTTAAAAAATCAGCGACGTAGGTACGCCCCTGGTAAATATTTAAAACTTTTATTTAATATTAAAACATTGAATACAATTAACCATATTTGAAAGGTTAAAGTCTTTTATAATTAACATTAACATTGAATACAATTAACCATATTTGAAAGGTTAAAGTCTTTTATAATTAACACCAATAAATTCAATTACAGATACTGATAACAGACAAATATAACCTTTATAACGTTTACATTTATTATCAGAATATTAATATTAATATTAAAACATTGAATACAATTAACCATATTTAAAAGGTTAAAGTCTTTTATTATTAACACCAATAAATTCAATTACACACTGATAACAGACAAATATAACCTTTATAACGTTACGGCGCTTTAGTCACGGGCTGAAGTTAGCAACAGGTTTTTAGTCACGGGCTGAAGTAGTTTTAAGTTAGTTGACAGTTGTCAAATGTCATACAATCGTTAACATAAAGTGCCTTTCTTGTAAAATAATACTAAATGTAAAAATTATTTTATTATCTTAATACAAAAATACAAAAATATTAAATAGTTTCTCAACGCCAATATTTGCAAAGTTTATATGATCATTGTACTGACCTTTTAATTTCGCCGGCAGTAAACTATAACTTAAATTCGGGCACGGACTCTACTGTAAAGTCCTCATAAAACATTTCCTTTACTTTCACTGTGAAAAACATCAATATACATTTCGATTTATAACCTTTATAATTGTGTTTATAAAATGTAAAAATGTGACATTTGACAGTTTCCCCTGTTGTTGCATAGATGGCGCTCTATACAAATTTTTGATTTAAATCATTTTAAGATAATAATAAGTATTTGTCGTAGAAAAAGTATAGTATGCACCTCGTTTATAAACTTTTCTATACACTCATTAATTTAAGAACTCGCTCGCAAGCTCGCTCGTGCCTAAATTAAATTCGTGTATAAAATGGCGTTTATCAAACTTGATACATAATATAGGTACTATTATTTAATATTAAACATTGCCAACAATAAACCATATTTAAAAGGTCTTTTATAATTAACACCAATAAATTCAATTACAGACACTCTGATTACAGACAAATAGGTATAACCTTTATAACGTGTACCTACCTATAGATACATTTATTATCGGAACATGTTTCTAATAATAGGTAACATTATAAAAAATAAGAACTGTATTTGTAGACAATACTGTAATACAATAATGCATAATAACATAGCTATAGGTTATCTTCGTTATTTATAAATAATTATGTCATAACAACAAAACATTGCGGTTTTTTATTACACATCTTTAATAGTGATCTCTTTTTATAAAAATATTTTTCTGTACTACTTACCTAATTCATACATTTTATATAAATACATAAGATAAATTAAATAGGTAAGCATAGAAATTATAAAACAGTTAAAAAATCATTGAACCATCGCGTTTTATTGAAAACGGACAAAACTGATATACAAACAAATGATTTAATTGACAGGACAATTCCTGTTGCTTAGTTACCTTTATTTTCAATGGTTTTGTTTATTTACTTTAGTTAATTTATAGACAATACATTATTTAGGTAGTTAATGTAGTATTTTTTAATATTGGTAATTGTAATTTTTGTATCTAAGAAATTTAATTATTTTGACATCAAGGTATACCAACATTTAAAATTAAGATTAAATAATAGCATATAGTACCAACATAATTAAATGTGCAAAATAAAAATAATGAATTTTATAAATAACATTTCGATTTTTGTATTAATAAACATTCAAAATATGTCTTATAGGACTTACCCTTTTGACTTGGAAGTTGTCAGCCCTGAGGGTTTCCTGAATTTCCTGCTGCGGTCTGGAAGGCTGAGCCGTGGAATTGCTGAAATTCGGGAATTTGTCGAAAACGCCTCTTATTTTGAAATTCTTCATGATTCTCGCCTTTATCTATTCATCAACATTTACAGTTTCAATACAGTCAATTTTAAAAACAACTTTTCAAATGCACGTTCAAAATCACATTCTGCAGCAAAAGTATCGACTATCAGCGAAATTGAGTGAGGAGAGCACGTTAACTTGACGCGAACCACGGACCTTTTGTAATGCGCTTTCAGTGCCTGGAATTTCAGCAGGCGACTGTTGAACGCACAGCTAGGACGTTATCCTGCAATTGCGAGTCTCACCGACCTGCAGGACCTTCCCCTAAAAGTCAATAGCAGGATATCTTTGCTTCCAACACACGAACGTAATTCTGCGCCATAAGGCCCTTCCGAACAGCGCACAAGCGGATTTTCGCGTTTGTTTTTTCGAAAACAACTGACAACCGAACTGTCAAACTAACGCTGCTTATGCTAAACGCACGATAACAATTTTAATATGTTACAGAAAACAACTGACAGATCGATATGTCACGAAAAACACATGTTGATACTGCTATTCTTTGCGCATTGAGTTAAGACGTAATCCGCAACACCGCACCCTCTTCCACTTACAAAATAAACAAAGACGGAAACTTAGCAACACGTTGATGCGGTAATTGTAGACGACAAAAAATTCTCGAGCGGTGTTGTCAAACCTTCGATAAATACGCAGGTCAACAGCAATCATTTTGCACAATTAGCTCTTATTTCCGCGATATTGCAAAAAATAGTATATTATGTATCATATTTGATAAAGGCCATTTTATACACGAATTTAATTTAGGCGCGAGCGAGCTTGCGAGCGAGTGCTTAAGTTAATGAGTGTATAGAAAAGTTTATAAACGAGGTGCATATATACTATACTTCTTCTACGACAAATACTTATTATTATCTTAAAATGATTTAAATCAAAAATTTGTATAGAGCGCCAACTATGAAACAACAGGGGAAACTTGTCAAATGTCACATTTTTACATTTTATAAACACAATTACAAAGGTCGAAATTTATCTTGAAAATTGACAGTTTTATGAGGACTTTACAATAGAGTCCGTGCCCGAATTTAAGTTATAGTTTACTGCCGGCGAAATTAAAAGGTCAGTACAATGTTCATATAAACTTTTCAAATATTGGCGTTGAGAAACTATTTAATACTTCTGTATTTTTGTATTGAGATAATAAAATAATTTTTACATTTAGTATTATTTTACAGGAAAGGCACTTTATTTTAACGATTGTATGACATTTGACAACTGTAAACTAACTTAAAACTAACTTCAGCCCGTGACTAAAAACCTGTTGCTAACTTCAGCCCGTGACTAAAGCGCCATAAAGCCACAACTTGTCAATGTGTATTTAAAATGTCACTTAGTGTCATGGAAACATGTACGATAAAGGGCGTTTTAAAGGTGAAAGTAGAAAAAATTATTTATTAAATCTACCCTGCAGCAAACAAATAAATGAGTTTTTTAAACTTGGCACCACTGCCTTCGTTTAACAGCTGATCCAAAGCCATCATGACAGTGCTCTCCTAACCTAACTAATTAATCAAGTTTTTCTTATATTTAGGTTTACAGTGTTTTATTTCTACTTCAACTAACAAACCGCAAACATGTTGTTCACGGTGTTCGTGAAAAATTGTTCGATCGTTTTTTATCAACGACAACGTGGAATGTCAAAAATAAGGTGCGTTTTTTAGGCGGCAAATTTGTTTTTTTTTAATTCTTTGAATTGTGTTTATTAATAAAAAGTGTGTTTATTTACACATAAACATGTTAAAACAAGATTTTTAATTATTAAGTGTGTTTATAGGAAATATGGAACACTTTTTACGGCCAGTTTATCATTTTTCTCGCAAAAAAACACAATTAACACAAAAGACTTCATGGCTTTGCCGATAACCAATTTAGAACACCTTGAAAAAAACAAGGACGATATGAAAACGAAAATGGAACTGATGATTTTACGAGTACAAGCTGATTTCTGCAAAGCTTTAGAATTGGAAGAAGACTGTAATAAATTTATTGTCGATAGATGGACAAGGAAAGAAGGAGGAAAGTTATAACTTTCAATTGTCAAAAAAAACAAATACATTATATTATATTCTCTATACTTTTTTAGGTGGTGGTGTTACTTGTGTGATGCAAGATGGCAAAATCTTCGAAAAAGCCGGTGTTAACATTTCGGTGGTTTCGGGAAATTTGCCGCCGCAAGCCGTAACGCAAATGAAAACTAGGGGTAAACAATTGCAGGGGAAAAATCTTCCGTTTTTTGCTGCTGGTATCAGCGCGGTGATTCACCCTGTCAATCCAATGGTGCCAACCATACATTTTAATTACAGGTATGTTTGTGCTTAGTTTATCCATGTATTGTATGCTCTAAGGTCAAATAAAATTTTAAAAAATATTGTCAATTTATTAAATTGTCATTTTGTAATTAAATTATTTTTAAAGGCAATTATCTGCATAAATGGATAGTGTATAAAAAATTGCAGGAATTGAAAAATAATCTGATGTCACACCCTAAATGTACAATTTTTATTAACACCATTCGAAAATAGACGTTTTAAATGGTAAATATTAAAATTCTAGTCTTTGTGAAAATAAGTTTAAAAATGCAAATTTTACATTTTTTGACAAGAACTGTCAGATTTAATGCTAAATATTTAGTGGGCTGTGACAGCAAATTTAGTAGTGCCAATGTGATAAAAATAAAACGTTGTATTTTAATTAACAAATTAATACTTTATTACAAATTAAGGTATCAATAAATGCTAAAAACAACATAAAAAGTAAATAGGTTACAATATATAATGTTAATTTTTTGTTATAATGGCAAAATTAAGGTTTAAAACTGTCATATTTTTATGTTTCTTAAGTTGGCAGTACAACATTTTAAATGACAATTTAAAAAAATGTTTTCTGATATTTTCTTAAAAAATATACTGTAAAAATCAATTTTAAAGCTCTCAACATGATCCTCTTGGGATGCTTGAGTTTAAAAAAGAAGTTTTGAAATAATCCATGGAAAATATTTATTTTAATCAACATATTCTGACTTCCCATATCTACAGTCATTAAGTTATGGTAAAAAACCTGTTTTAGGTACTTTGAAGTGCAAAATGGCGACGGTGAAGTGCAATGGTGGTTTGGCGGTGGCACCGACTTAACTCCCTACTATTTAAACACCGCAGATGCGTTGCATTTCCACGAAACCCTCAAAAACGCATGTGATAAACACGATGTCAAATATTACCCGAAATTTAAGAAGTGGTGTGACAAATACTTTAACATTCCGCACAGGGGCGAGAGAAGGGGAATCGGGGGTATATTTTTTGACGACCTGGATTCCCCCACTCAGGAGAAATGTTTCAGTTTCGTTACCGATATGGCCGATGCTGTTATTCCTTCTTATGTCCCGCTAGGTGGGTGATTTGACGTTTCACTGTCAATTGTCAAAAAAAGTGACATTAATGTCAGAATTTGACTGTCAAAAAATAAAAAATTTCAATTGTTTTTTATTAGAATGGCATTTGTTTTAAAACATTTGCTTGTAATTGTTTTAAGCTGTTAAAAACTTTATTTTAGTGAAAAGACACAAACAAGCAAAATACACTAGAGTAGAAAGGGAATGGCAACTACTTAGACGTGGCAGATACGTGGAATTTAACCTCATTTACGATCGAGGAACCAAATTTGGACTGTACACCCCTGGTGCAAGGTACGAAAGTATCCTGATGTCTCTACCTTTGCATGCTCGTTGGGAATACATGAACCAACCTGCCGAAGGAACCCCGGAAAGTGAATTGCTCAAAGTTTTGGCCAATCCCAGGGATTGGATTGAGGGCTGTCATTGTGATGATGAGGTGCCCGATAATTAAGAAAGTTTTATTTCTTTGTTATTGTTTAATAAAAAAATGTTAAATATTTTCAGGTTATTTATTTTTTAACAACATTAAGGCTAGTTCTTCTGCCTCATTAACGCTAAGTGATGAGGTTACTTTGTCTATTTTTTGTTTCTTCTTCTTCTTTAGGACTGTTTCTAGGTTGTCTATTGTTTGTTTTTGTTTCCTCTTTTTGGACCTACAAAAAATACATTTTTATTATTTGTTATTAGGTCGAAAGTCCACTTTTTTCGAAATTTATTTGGGGATAGCAAAATATTGATCTTTAAGGTAAAAAAAAATATGTGTAAAGAAAGAATTTTGATCAACATTTAGGTAGGTAAGTAACAAAAAATTTTCCCCACACTATTTTTAGACTTTAAATTTAGAACTGTACAAAATTAGAAAAGTTAAATTTATATCAAAGAATATAAAGTTTAAAAAAAATCTCACAAATAAAAAATATAAAAAAACAAAAAAATACGAATTTTAGACTCTAAATTTAGAACTGTACAAAATTAGAAAAGTTAAATTTCTATCAAAGAATATAAAATAAAAAAAATAATCCCACAAATAAAAAAATTATTAAAAAAAATTAGACCATTAAAAATATAAAATTGTGAAAAAACATTTTTTAAAACAATAAAGTAAACTAAAATGTTTAGAACCGTCTAAAAATTTTGCTAAAACTGTGTAGACTCTAAATTTAGAACCATACAAGATTTCTATCAAAAAATATGAATACAAAAAAAAATCTCACAAATAAAAAAATTAAATAAAACATTGAATTAAATCAAACTGATTTAAGAAAATAAACATAAACGTTAAATATACTGTTGGTTGGGTATTTTTTGCAAAAAGGAGTCCATTGAATTACAAAATAATGAATGATTTATAAAATTAAATTACAAAATTATAATTTTATAAATTAAAGTGTCAAATAAAAGGAGTTATGTTAATACAGCACCGAATATGTTTTTTGCGACCCGGTGGAATTAATAGGAATTTACTGAATTAAAATAACATGAATAGTTATTAGTATAATCATAATATTGATAATATTCAGCGTCGGAAATTCACTTTTTTCTCGATATCAGTAACTGTAAAAATATGTAAATTTTCAGAAACATTTACATTTTTACGTACTAAAGAATGCAAGTCAATTTTTCTGAAAATTTCTCAATTTTTCCGTTATTTTACGAAAAAAAATTTAAAACCCTAATTGATAACCCATTTCAGAAAAATCGTGATTTTTTCACAAAATTTTAACTTTTTCGACGTTAAAAAAACTAAATTTTTATTTTCTACAAAAAGTTCCCTATCAAATGTTTTACTCATAAAATAAGTAAATGTTGTCAAAAAAAAAAGACTATTTTGACATAATCTGTGTAAAATAAATAAGATTTATAAAAAAGGACCATTTCGTAAACAATTATATTTACTCAAAAAATAAAAGAAAATGTATCTTAAAAAAATTATTAAATTAAGATGTTATCACATAAGTTTTTTACCTCAAAGATTAATATTTTTGCTATTACCAAATTAATTTTGAAAACAGATATTTTACCTACAAACAGAGTTCGAAAAAATCATGATTAAAAAAAATCAAAAATCAATGATTTTTATTAAAAAAATCAACAAAACATGGTTTTTTTGTAGTGTACTAAAAAATACTAAAAAAAATTGACTAATAATATTATATTGGCTAGACTGGGCCAAAAAAATCGAATATTTTTTTTTGGAAAGTATATCGAAAATAATGTTTGGGACGACAAAAAAAATTATGGTAAAAGTTTGAGTCCATAATATTAAAATTAAGAGGTCTATCATCGCAATTTTAGATTTTTTTTTCCTGAGCGAGTTTTTGTCTCAGAACTCCCAAATCATTGAGTTTAACAAAATTGACTTAAGAATATTTTTTGAAGAAAATTGAATGCTTTACAAAAAAGGTTTGATTGGAATTTCCCGTCAGATGAACTCTTTTCTTACAATGATGCCTTAAAAATTGTTATAGTTTCACAATTTGATCTTTTAACTTTGGAATTTTGTAATTCAAGTAAAAATCAGTACCCTAAAAAAAAAAGGATAAATATTTTTATGGGAAATCAAATGCTCTACAAAAAAAGTCTTTTATCATTTTTGGCTAAATTCTCTCCATCAAAAGTTATTCAAGGTTAAATTTGAAGACAAAACGAAATTTTAACCTTGAATAACTTTTGATTGAGTGAATTTAGCCAAAAATGTTAAGAGGCTATTTTTGTAAAGCATTTGATTTCCCATAAGAATATTTATCGGTTTTTTATGGGTACTGATTTTTACATGAATTACAAAATTCCAAAGTTAAAAGATCAAAATGTAAAACTATACCAATTTTTAAGGCATGATTTTAAGGAAACGGTTCATCTGACGGAAAATTTCACTTTAACCTTTTTTGTAGAGCATTTAATTTTCTTTAAAAAATATTTTTAAGTTTGGTTTGGGAGTTCTGAGCCTAAAACTTGCTGAGGAAAAAAAAATTAAAATTGCGATGATAGACCTCTTAATATTAATATTATGGACTCAAACTTTCACAATAATTTTTTTGTCACCACATACCACAAACCATAATTTCGATATACTTTTCAAAAAAAAAAAATAGTTGATTTTTTTGGCCCAGTCTAATATTGGCACTACAACAAATAAACCGTCCGCAACTTTCATATATTTTGTATATTCCTTTTTTATTTTATTTAACAAAATAAACAGTTTTTCTATGTACATATATGAATTTATTTAAATAGGTTCAATAATATATTATTGTGCTTTGGTTTTAAATCTTTTAAGTGTTTTTTTAAATTTTAGAAACTCTTTTTAAAACTGATAAATCATTGATTAGAATAAAAAAATCACTTTAAATTGTTATTTTTACTTTTGGTATTGAAAAATTATATAATAACTAAATAATACTCAAAATGTCCTTAAACCAATGAAAATTAAATATCCATCCCCAAGCAGCATTTTAAGTTTAAGCGTAGAGCTTTGAGGCAATATTACTTAAATATTTTGTTAAATTAACCTTAAAAATTTACTTTGAAGTAAAACTTTTTTTTAAGTTATTTAATAAGTTTTATTTGTGTTATTTTTACCTTTTTTAATAATTCTTAAGTTTCAACACTTTAAAGTATTATGAGGGACGTAATTTTTACGAAAGAAAATTACTTATAAGTGTATTTCACCTAAAGGAAAATTTAACGGTAATTTTAACGTCAGAATTTTTACTTAATGGTAAATTTTACTCATAAGTCATAATTTTACGATATTAAGACCACTTTATAACCGTACATAATTCCTATTTGCCTGGTATTTTTTGGAGTTATTGGTGGTAATAATTACACAGCCACACAAATTTTTTGTTTTGTTTTGATCTGGGGGTCTGACCATATTTCTTTTATGTTTTTGGGGTCGCTGAATCCGAATCCAAGGTCTATTTAACCCCATCACATCAGGATTTTGACATAACCTCAAAAAATCTATAATTTAAGCTATTAAACGCATATAACCCTAAACATTAAGTTGTTGACTAAAAACCCAAGCTCCTAAACCCTATAAGCCTAAAACTCACTTAACTCCATAACCCCATGACTCACTTAACCCCATCATCTATTTAAACATATAATCCTTAGGATGAAATTGTGATCTGAAAACCCAAGCTATTAAACCCAATAACCATTTTAACCCCATCCCATAAACCACTTAAACCCATAACCTTGTAACCCATTTAACCCCATCAACATCAATTCCAACAGTTCCGTATCTCAGACATTTAGCTTTGAAGAGACTAAAGTTATGCGGTTATTAAAATAACGTACATATTAAGTTAAATATCTGACAAACGTGGTTGATGTACATTGAGTTATGAGGTTAAATGGGTTATGGGGTTATGGAGTTATGTGAGTTATAAAGTTGTGATATTTAAAAGCTTGGATTTTTATATTAAAACCACATTCTCAGGGTTATATATAGTAATAGCTTATATGATGGGTTTCTTAAGGTTATGGCAAAATCCTGATGTGATGGGGTTAAATAGACCTGGGATTCGGATTCAGCGACCCCAAAAATATATAGAAAATATGGTCAGGGCCCCAGATCAAAACACAAACTTTTTTTTGTGTGGCTGTGTTATTAATTAATATTGACTTAACAAGGAACAATAAGCTTAAGGTGAAAAATAAAACTTTAAGGAAAAAAATTTTTCAGGTCGCCATAATGAGTTTTTTAAGATGGCATCCATTACTTATCTAAACATTTATACAATATTTTTTCATAAATAAGGAAAGTTTTAGTTATTACAAAATGATTAAAACTAAATGATTTTTAAAATTTTACTCTACGGTGGCCTTTATTACTTTGTAAGTACCATTTTGTAAAATATAAATTAAAAGAACAAAGAAATTACGAATTTCAATGTTTTATAAAGAGTGAGCAATCAGTTAGTAATTATAGCGTTATTTTTACGTATATTTGTGGTATTTATATTGTTTTTATTACGTTATTCTCTTAGTGAATCAAAAAGGTTATTATGTAGGTAAAATAACGTTGACTTAGTAGTAAATTTGTAGTTATTTTAACTTAAAGTGCTGCTTGGGTTCCCTGATAGCACAGTTTATTCTAAAAATGTTTTTTAAACCTTCCAGTGGGAATATTCTTAGGATCATGCTATATTTCTTCTAGTCATGTTCTAAGAATGTTTTTTAAACCTTCCAGTGAGAATATTCCTAGGATCATGCTATATTTCTTCTTGGCATGTTCTAAGAATGTTTTTTAAACCTTCCAGTGAGAATATTCTTAGGATCATGCTAGATTTCTTCTAAAGAACATGCTTAAAAGAAATATAGCATAATCCTAAGAATATTCTCACTGGCCTATAGGCAGGTTCTTAGAAGGTGCAAAGTTTAGTGGTAAAAATTAATCCACTCTAAACATATGCTTAGAATGTTGAGAAAGTAATTGCTATAGAAAGTTCATTTAGTAATATTCCTGGAACATTCTGTTAACACGTTCACTACCGCCGTGTTACAGCTGGTCGCTTGTTTTGTACCGAAACTACCGAAACTGGCGTAGGAAATAAACCTGAGTCACTGTAAATAAAGCCACATAAAGTGAACCAGAGGCCACTTAACTGGCCGTGAGCGCGTTATAGACCGAAGACAACATACAAGTCATCACTTGTGACCCAGCTAAATTTATATTGCACCTAAGTAAGATTAAATTTGAAGCCAGTATAGTGGCCGCGGTTCATGGTGAGCCAACCGATTGGCCAATATAGTGGTCGCCGGTAGTGAACGTGTTAAGCATATTCAGTTCAGTTAGGTACCTATATAATAGTAAAAAATACCATAATCTACGTATAAAGTACCTACCTAAAGTACCTATACTTAATATTAAATACTAAGTAAAAAACACAACCCAAAATATTTTTTATAGTTATTTGTCAAATTAAAACAATATTCGATAACAAAATAGTAGATTATGTCATAAGGAGTAGAAGTGACTCTTTTTGTGGTGCAGCTCTTCAATTAAATCATGTGGGATAAAATTTTGGCTAAAAGCATTAGAAATTATTGATAAAAACTAAAAAAACTTATAACCCTTACTTACAATGCCGATAAATATCCTAAACTAAAAATAAAAACAGCTCTGTCAAAATGCTGCGCTTGAATTAATTTTGACGTACTGACATTTGTTTGAAATTCCGACATTGGCGACTCGTCTATCATCATAATATTATACATAAACTAGTTGTTCTTTATTTCGTTCAATTAAAATTTAATAAATAATCACTAAATATTCCGTGCGATTATAATTAATATAATTAATACATCGTGATCGCTTAGTATGAAATGCTAAATTAATTTTATTATTTGACGTCTATTGAGTCACCTATGGATTTACTTCTATCCCTAGGCTTTTTTGAGTTTTTTGTCTGCCGCTAATGAAAAAGACGCACTTCAACTATCTCTATACATGCATATAAGGTTGTATATCATGGCCGCTTGAAAAAAAATACTTTTACTATAGGTATCTAAATTATCCGGCTTTTACATAAAATCTTCTATCCAACTTAAATACAATGAAAAATGTTTTTTTTATGAAGAACTATTTGGTTTTTTCTTTTATGAAGAATTATTTTATAAGGAAATATTTTGTTTTTTATATTTTATTTTATGTTAAAAATAAATATTTATTAATTTGTATACAGATTTTTTATTTCTGAATTAACATTTTTATGTATAATAATCCTAACTATCTTCAACTTCAATCTAATCTGACTTATCCCAGAAAATTTTCCAATTTTACTTTTTATGAAATAATGTCATACAACTTATGGTTTAGAGGTCAAATTATTTATTTAATATTTTTAAATAAATATATATTAATATGTCAATATTCTCAAAAGCTTCCTAGAAGCTCCATAAGAAACCTTCTAGGAACATTCCAAAAACGTATTCTTAAAATGTTCTTAGAATGCTTTTTAGGAAGGTTTTAAGAAGCTTCTAAGAATCTAATTGCATCATCTATTGAATGTTTTAAAAGCCCCTTAGAACATTTTAAGCAATAAGGGAAGGTTCTAAGAATATTCCATTATTCCGGGTCATATCTTCTTAGAAGATTCTTAGAATCAAATTTTGCTATCAGGGTCCAAAAACTGTCTTAAATATATAAAAACTATACAAAAGTCCTAAAACTTTGCTAAAATTGTCTACTTACTTTTCTTTCTTCTTAACCTCCACCGTCTCATCGTCACTGGGCTTATAAAACTCCTGTTCCTCCTCATCGGAATCCTTCTTCCCGTAAATCTCGTCTGGATCCGGCATCCACGATAAATCCGGAGCTTCATCGCTCTCGTCGCTCTCCCCAAAATCATCCCTCTCCTGCTGCTCCTGCTTCTTCTGCTCCTTCAGCTTCCTCCTCTCCTCCTTGTGTTTCGCCTTCACCTTCTGCTTGAACAGCTGCTTATCGAACTTGTCCTCCTCTCTGAGGATCAATCTGGCTCTCTCTATGTCTATCCCCCCTTCATCTTCATTCTCGTACTCCTGAGCCAGCTCCGATTTCTTATCTTTCGTCCCGGATATCACCGCGTCACCTTCATCGTCAAAGGTAATTTTTTTGTTCGGTACGATTTTCTTCTTCAGCAGTTTCTTCGCCAAAGCTGCTTTGGTGATCGGTTTCTTCTTGCTGTTTCTTCCCAGGGACATCGCTTCTATTTCGTCTTCGTTCAGCACCTCTATATCGTGATCCATGCGTTTTACTTGGAGCATGTTTTCTTCGTCGCTGCTGTCATCGTCGGGTAATTGGAAGGGCGTCGATTTATTGGCATCTTCATCTTCATCGTCACTAACACCGCTGTCTTCATCGTCATCTTTACCAAACTTAACACTAACATTATCTTCAGCTTTCTTTACATCCTCATCTTCATTATCACTCTCCGTATTGAAGTACTTCTTATTGTTGCTTTTATTATTGGTAGCCACAAGTTTGCTGACTTTCGGTCCTTCCGCCTTTCTGGCGTTCATCCTCTGCAGAAATCTTATCCTGGGCGGGATGGCGAGACCCAAGGAGTTGGCGAAGGAGTCCGTTTCCAGCGATTGCACGTTGAAAATGTCCTTGTCTTTCATGAGAAACACCGCTTTCGCGTAGGAAACGAACGCGCGTTGCGCGGTGTCTTTGAGAGTCGGGTCTTTGGCTAGGAAGGCCTCCATTTTGCGGACCGGGTTGTTGAGTTTCATTGGGTTTATTCTGTCAAGTGAAAATATGCATACGTATTAGAATCCAGGTTGATTTGGAAATACATATATCAAGAACAAAAATCACCAACAATAAGTTTAATACAAAAAATGAAAATATTTTTTTTAATATACAGGGTAAGTCATTTAACTTGAAACTTTGAAATATCTGTTTGTATGCATTTTACGAAAAAATGTGATAATTACACAGTAGTAACATCAAAAAGACACAAAAAATCGCCGGCACACGTAAACTTAATTATTGGGCGTATAATCCAGTGGTGTAATCAGTTTTTTAAATTTAGCTCGTTTTCTTAAGATATTTAATATTTAAGTTTTTGTAACTTTTTCGTTTATTATTTCTGTACATTTTGAGAAATGCCAAAAAGACAAAAAAACGCCGGGACTTGTAAACCTAATTTTTGGGTGTAGAATTCAGTGGTGTAATCCGTTTTTAAAAAAATTAGGTCGTTTTCTCAAGATATTTGAAAATTTGGGTTTAAATATTTTTTTATTTGTTATTTTGCTATATATGTATGTATATATATATTTTAAGACACCATAATCCCTCTTAAAATATCTTTATTTATTTTATTTACTTATAATTAACATTTTTGGCCAATTCCAATTTTAAAATGTATTAAAATTAATTTATTTCTAAAAAATTATTATTTATCAATAATAAACTTTTTTGTCAGTTAGTAGTATAAAATATTAAAATTAATTTATATTTAAAAAAATAAAAAACCTACTTAAATAACAAGTTGTAAAGAATGTAAAAAATGTTTCATTTTATGCATCGAGTCGAATTTTTTGCCAGAAAACCGATCTTCAAATGTCATAATGGTTTGATGAAATCGTTCACTAGCTTCATCGGATTCGATTGAAAGTTGTTTTTCATAAAAATTAAAATGAGCATGCAAAATTTGTAGCTACATATTTATACTTACTTAACCACAAAACTATGTAGCAAAGAATTATTTCAATTGTAAAAACTAAAAACAACATTAATACAGGCTGTACTTACTAGTAAATGAAATTCTCAAATTTTATTAAATTCGAATATTTCCCACTAATACCAGACAATAAAATTTACTAAAACAAATTTAATTACAAAAAAAGAAATATGCGAAAAATCTAATAAAATTAAAAAAATATAAAATAGTGAATAAACAAAAAAAGGGACTTTTTTTAACCCAAGTTCTAAAACTAAAACATTTTTTAAGACATTCAAGTAAACTAAAACGTTCTAAAATGTTTAGAACTGTCTTAAAAATATTTAAAAACATTTTTAGACTCTAAATTAAGAACTGTATAATTTAATAAAGAATATAAAAAAAATATCTTAATATTTCAATTGTGAAAAAACAAAAAATACGCACTTTTTTAACCCAGGTTCCAAAACTAAAACAGACATTCATTCACGTATACTAAATACGTTCTAAAATGTTTAAAACTGTCTTGAAATGTGCTAAAACTGTTTAAAGATATTATTAGACTATAAATTTGTAACTGTACAAAATTAAAAAAGTTAAAATTCTATCAAAGAATATAAAATTCAAAAAATATCTCACAAATAGAAAATCAAAATAAAATAAATGTAGACTGTTAAAAATATAAAATTATGAAAAAAACAACAAAATACGCACATTTTTTAACCCAAGTTCTAAAATGTTTAGAACTGTATTAAAATGTGAAAAAAACTGTTCAAAAACATTTTTAGACTCTAAATTAAGAGCTGTACAAAATTATAAAAGATAAACTTTTATCAAAGAATATAAAAAATTATCTCAATATTTCAATTGTGAAAAAGCAAAAAACACGCACTTTTTTAACCCAGGTTCTAAAACTAAAGCAGACATTCATTCACGTATACTAAAACGTTCTAAAATGTTTAAAACTGTCTTAAAATGTGATTAAACTGTTTAAAAATATTATTAGACTTTAAATTTGGAACTGTACAAAATTAAAAAAGTTAAAATTCTATCAAAGAATATAAAATTCAAAAAAATTATCTCACAAATAGAAAATCAAAATAAAATAAATGTAGACCATAAAAAATATAAAATTGTGATAAACCAAAAAAATACGAACTTTTTTAACCCAAGTTCTAAAATGTTTAGAACTGTCTTAAAAATGTGCTAAAACTGTTTAAAACATTTTTAGACTCTTATCAAAGAATATAAATAAAATATCCCAATATTTAAATTGTGAAAAAACAAAAAATACGCACTTTTTTAACCCAGGTTCTAAAAGTAAAACAGACATTCACGGATACTAAAATGTTCTAAAATGTTTAAAACTGTCTTTAAAATGTCCTTAAACAGTTTAAAAATATTATTAGACTATAAATTTGGAGCTGTACAAAATTAAAAAAGTTAAAATTCTATAAAAAAATATGAAATTAAAAAAAAATATCTTACAAAAAGAAAATCAAAATAAAATAAATGTAGACCATCAAAAATATATAATTGTGAAAAAAAAACAAAAAAATACGCACTTTTTTCACCCACGTTCTAAAATGTTTAGAACTATCTTAAAAATGTGCTAAAACTGTTTAAAACATTTTTAGACTTTAAATTAAGAACTGTCCAAAATTATAAAAGTTAAACTTTTTTCAAAGAATATTAAAAGAACTTAAAATTTTGTAAAAGTACCCCAAAACTTTATTTTTTTAATATGAAAATTCATTTGAAACTTTATAAAATATTGTACAAAAACTATGGAATTGTTTTAAAACATTTAAATATACTATATAGTTATAACCATCTATAATGTTCCAAACCTGAAGACAAAATCTTAAAAAATCTTGTCAATATAAAACTTGAAATTCCCCTAAAATGGTTTTAGAGCAGTCCAAAATATATTTGTTAAAAATGTCAAAAAAACACCTTAAAATGTCCATTCAAATCATACAAATTCATTATAAAAATATATGCAAAATTATAGATATTTAAACAATTTTTAAATAAAATATAAAAATAAAATATTTATGAAAAAAATTGTGAATTTTTTTATATAAAAAGCAATAAAGTGTACTCACTCTATTTTATTAACGGGAATCTTCTTTTCCTGCAACCTCTCCACCATTTTGACCTCGCTCTCCAAAAGCAAGAGCAAACTCTCCCCCCCTCTATGGTACCTGGCGGTCCTGCCCACTCTGTGAATGTAAGTGGCCGAATCCTCGGGACAGTCCGCCTGAACCACCCAATGAACCTCCGGGAAGTCCAAACCACGGGCCGCTAGATCGGTGGCAAACAAAACGGCCGACGATTTTTTGCAAAAGTTTTCGTATATGTCCATCCTGCGCAGCTGATGCAGAGTGCCGTAGAGAGGAAGAAGACTAGTACCGGGCCTTAGTCTAAGGAAAAAATAATATAGTTTATACAGGGTGTTATGTAAAGACTAAAAATAATTTATAATAACATTTAAGTTGTATTCCGAAATTATATCTGATAGGAACCAAGATTTTGGTTCCTCTGAAATTTCTGTCAATTGTCAAAATTTTCCTGAAACTTGTTTTGGTTACTGAAAAAGCGACCGCACATTATTAGCGGTAACATTTTGGTTGCTGTCATTTTTTTAACTAAAATTAGGTTATGTGTCTCTAAACAAATAAATAAAACCCCCCGATTTTGTTATAACAATTTATATTTAATAGGTAGGTAATTGGAGAAACATGGAGGCATACATAGCATACAATTATTACCAGGTAATATTATAAAATAATTTATTTTTAAACATTTACCACAATGAAAACAACTTCCTACAAAAGTACAATATTTATGTACTTTTGTAGGAAGTTGTTTTAATTGCGGTAAAATTAATGAAACCATTGAAAATTAACCATTGAAAATTTTCAATATAATAAAAATTTAAATTAAAATTATTACGCATAGTTTGGTATTTTTTATCTTCCTATAGAATATAAATGAAAATTATTACTACCTATATCTCTTTATCCATACTGGAACTATCGTCCCAGTTGATAATTTCAAAAAAGACTGCTGCTGAATTTATTTTAAAAATATTGTGTAGGTATAAAAAACACCCAAATAGAAAAAGTTTGGACAGATAAGCACTTTTTGACAGCATTCCAAAATTAGTTCGTTTCTATCAACCGCTAACCGACCAAAATTGTGGTATCGATCCTCAAAAAATAATTTCGGAACATAACTTTAATAACTAGGCTAATCTGGTTGCCTGATTTAATTTATTATCTTATGGTTGGTAACAACTAGCGTTTGTGAACTTGTCCTAATTTCAGAAACAGAAAGAAAAAAACCGATGAAAAAATTAATTTTGTGGTTATGGAGTTTTTAAAATAGGTACTAAATAGTATTTAGTAAATACGCTAAAGAAGTATCGGGTTTTCGAAACGCGCGCGCCATCTGGTAGACTTTGAATGCATTGCGTGAATTTAGGAATCTCTATGTTAGGAATTGTCAAAAATACATTTAAAGTACAGATTATACATCATTTTTAAATAAATATGTAGTTTTTTTAAAAAGAGAGGAAGTGTTCAATTGTACAGCTTAATCGCGCATGTTATTTGTGTTTTACGTTTCAAGGAAAAAATTAAAAAAACTTTTTAGTAGGTACTCGATTTCAATTGATTGATTAAGAAACTCAACGCTTAAATCCTAATATAGTTACGTTAGTGTGTGTATTTTATCAAAGGGATCATGGTGAATTATTGTGTTTTTAAATGTAAATAAAATTCAAGAACTAAATCCTTGCATTTTCATGTTTTGTCAAAAGATCTAATTCGGTAAGTACATTTGTTGGTGCAGAATTAACTAATGATAACTTTACCTAATATAATTTATATTTAAGTTTGGACATTTTTAAGAAATTAGTAAAAAATAATTTTTGCACAAACAAAACCTTAAAATCAACCATTTTTATATTTGAGTTCTCTAAAATGATAATGATAATGATAATGATAATGATAATGATAACTTTACCTAATTTAATTTATATTTAAGTTTGGACATTTTTAAGAAATTAGTAAAAAATAATTTTTGCACAAACAAAACCTTAAAATCAACCATTTTTATATTTGAGTTCTCTAAAAAACGCCGACAACTGCATTTTAAACAACAAAATATACCTACGAATTCATGGCAACATAATATTATATAATATAAAATATAAAATACCATTATACAGGGTGTCCCACAATTAGTGCGACAAAATGAAGGTGTATTATCTAAAGACCCCCAGGAATTCCAGAAAATTGTTTAAAAAATTCTTTCTTCATTATTTAATAAGATACAGGGGAGTCATATTTTCTTTATATGGCAACATTGCCTCATAACAAAGTAATAGTTTAATTCTTAATCATCATGACAACAAACAACAATGTTAGAAAATGCCAAATTTAAATGTCAAAATTTGTTACTTTAAGTTATAGGTTATTTATTTTACGTCAGACAGGGACTCCCTGTATTTTTTCTATCCAGGCTGTGTTCCGTAATTTACTGCCATTACTGTCAGTAATTTTACTGTCAGTAGCGGAAAAGGACCGTTCCGTAATTTATTCAGTACTGACGCACAGTCAAATTGGAACGCGCCTCAGTAGCAGCAGAAAGTGACAATGGTTACGCAAGGTTATGATTTGTGATTTACTACTGACAATTGACAAACTTTACTTTCGGCACAGCAGAGAACATAAATAAAAAATAAATATAACAGTTATAATAAATATAATGTTTGGTTTATGGCAGAGAAATATGGAAAATTTAATGTTATCGTCGTCCGCGTCGAAAAATGTATATAGGAATAGGAAATATAAAATTTCACTGACACCACAATAATAAGCCAAATACCAAACATTACTCTTAAATTCGTCCGCTGAATACAAATATATAACATTTTCTAGGTACTACCTATAGGTAGTACCACAATCCACACAACATGGATTGTGGGTAGTACTATAGTAGGTAGTTTCATATTCTGGGTCTTCGTATGCGTTCTCCCCGCCGACCTGCCTTCGTCACTGCTGCTTGTACTTTCAAGTAATATTTTATCATTAAATATTGAAATAATTAGTCCTATAGGTATTCACCAAATACCATTATATGAAATAATTTATATCCTTCACTTTATTTGACAGCTATTTTTTGTTTAAAAGTTTGGTTATGTGTTTTACTGGAGCCACAGCACCTCTCTGTCCCCAGTTGTTTCAGTAAAATTAATCTGCCGTACATTTATAAAAGGGTAGTATTTACCACTGAGCTCAGTAACTGAAAGTGGATTTCGGAATGCGTTTTCAGTACCGACAGTACTGACAGTAAATTACGGAACATAGGCCCAGTCTGACGTAAAATAAATAACCTATAACAAATTTTGACATTTAAATTTGGCATTTTTTAACATTGTTGTTTGTTGTCATGATGATTAAGAATTAAACTATTACTTTGTTATGAGGCAATGTTGCCTTATAAAGAAAATATGACTCCCCTGTATATTATTAAATAATGAAGAAAGAATTTTTTAAACAATTTTCTGGAATTCCTGGGGGTCTTTAGATAATACACATTCATTTTGTCGCATTAATTGTGGGACCCCCTGTATTATGTATTATATTATAATACATAATATAATGGTATTTTACCGTTTAGTGGAGACTTTGTTAATCAACACTTTTAATAATGCTAAATGCTGTTTAAATTTAGACGACTTATTTGTTTGACGATTTTTACTGAATTGAAATGTTTACACTTTTCACGTTAATTACTACTAAAATGTGTATTTATTGTATCTAATAGGTACAATTTATATTTACAGAGACTGTATGCAATTTATTTCTTCATTCAGATTAACACTGCTTATTGGAAAACCGGTGAAAACTAGGGTTGCCAACTGTCCAGAATTTGGGTGGACGTCCACCTTTTCGGCTCATTTGTCCAGCGTCCAGTCAATACCTTTGGCTGGACGTAAAATGTTCATAATTTTCACGTTGGCACATTTTTCAATTTTTTCGAAGGATTTTTTCCACATACCAGCCATGCCTCGTGCCGCCAGAATTTAAATATTCGTGCCTGCCTCGTGCGCGCTGGACTTTTTCCGTAGGCGTTGCGTGAAAGGCTGAAACCATGCTTCTTTTCTTTCTCACTCACACTCCTTTCTTACACATAAGGCAGGAGCGAGAAAGACAGCACTTATCGAGAATAATCCAGTCCTGTCTTATAAGTAACTTACGACTGTTGTCTTAATATAATTATCGATTTGTTTAATTAATCGTTTGATTGTGACAATTAACGTGCGGAATACTGCGGAACTGCTGCTGCTGACCTATTTAGTTTTCTTAAAAGGTAAGACTATTTTTTGTATACCTAATTTATTAGAACGTTTTATATTAGTTTTTCCTATAGATACCTATTTTCTATTATCTAGAGATTTGTTAATTTATAAAGCAATATGTTTATGTTTTAAAGTTACCCATTTAATACATATATTCATGTTTGTTGTCTTAAGGTAAGATTTTTTACTAGAATAAGTATTTTTTTATTTACATTGAACTATTGAACTAAGTGTTTAATCTATATGGCGAGTTCTGTATATTACCTATTTATGTGTTTCCCAAGTTAAAAAAAAACAAATAAAATATGTCCATAATTTTGTACCGGTGTCCAGAATTTTTAATCACCTTGCCCAGAAAATCCCAAAATAAAAGTTGGCAACCCTAGTGAAAACTCAACCCAGGATTTCCTCTCGAAATACACCCAACAACACAACAAATCGAGCCACGGTTTTTTTTCCGATATTTTTTAACATTTTCCGGCTTTATTCTTAAAAACACTCGTTTGTAACATAAGCGTTTGACAGCTGATTATTAAAAGTTATAATTTTGTTACGGTAACAGCCGAGTGGTGGCGCTACTAGCGATACTTCTTTAGCGTATTTTTCTTTATCTCTGGGAAAATATTTTTTTAAATATTTTTCCGCTACACCTTATGTCAAAAGGTATTCAGTATTTTAATATATTACATTAATTACATAACACCCTGTATATAAACATACCACTGCTTCAATGGATTACATAATAAAACAAATAATATAGTTTGTTGATTTGTATGGCAAAACTGAACATTTTGGAATAAGTATTTGAAAGTTACTGGATTGTTAGAAAAATATTCAGTGTTGAACCAACAAATTTATTAGGTAATAATATTATAATATATTATATTGAACTTACTTGCAAAATATCTCATAGACATATTTAACTTGCTTGCAACTGGAAAAAAATATGATAATCTTCTGTTTCAAGTGATTCTTGATAAAACTCCACAAAATGGAAATCTTGTCTTTCAACTCGCAAACCACATAACTTTGTTGAAGCTCTTTTGGCGTTCCAAATTCCGAGTTTTCGTGCACCGATACATAAGAAGGATCTACGAGACTCAACCTGGCCAAATCTTTAACCGACTTGGTCTGTGTGGCGGAAAATAGTAAGGTTTGTCGTTCCAAGGGTATGTTTGCTATGATGGCGTTCATAGTTTGCTCGAAACCCATGTCCAGGCAACGATCAGCCTCATCCAAAACTAATATCTTCATGTTTACGCAGTCAAACAAAGGATTTTCGTCCATATGTTGCAACAATCGACCGGGAGTGCAAATAATAATATTACACTGGTCCATTCTGTTTCTTTCAAATTTAAGGTCTTTACCCCCTATAATCAATCCAGCTGAAAAATCATGATGCTCCCCCACTTTTCTCAATGTTTCAAATATTTGATAGGCTAACTCTCTTGTTGGGGTTATAACTAAAGCCCCCAAACCATCCAAGTGTGTCCATTGTTTGGAAAACAGTTTTTCTACAACAAAAAATAATGTTTTTTATGCAGATGTATGTCAAAACTAAGTTACAGGCATAATTATGTAAAATAATAAATAATTTACCCAATATTGGTATAATAAATGCCAGAGTTTTCCCTGATCCAGTCTGTGCAGCTCCTAAGATATCTTTCCCTTGTAAAGCTAAACCAATGGTAGCTTTCTGAATTTCTGTAGGTTTTGTATAACCACATTCCCTTAAACCCTTTATAGTCCTTGGCGAAATGGGTAATTCACTAAATTTCGTCACTGAACTGGTGTCAATCTAAAATTTACACTTAAAAACCTTTAAAACTAGTATTCTTAAAAGTTACTCACTGTTTCATATCGTGCCTGTAACTTTTCGATTAAAGTTTGTTCGGAATCGCCCTTTTTGGGCTTCTTTTCGAAAACTTTAACCTTTGCTTTCCCCTTTTTCTTCTTGTCTTTTTTATTTTTTCCATCGTTTTCTGACATTTTCAACAATTTATATACACATGTGTAAAAGTAGGGTTAATTTTTCAATTGTCACATACTGCCAACATAATCACGGTAACTTTCTAACAATCTCAACAATAATTGGCAGGAATTTTGTTGGTAGACTTGTGTATGTGTCATAAACGCAGTGAATATTCAAATCGCAGCAAATTTCCACAAATTTTCGTTAAATTATGGCTGATTTTAAAGTGGTAACGGCGGATTATGTGAAGGTACAAATCTCCACCTCCAAGAATGATTTAGGCGATGTTGAAAAGAGGTTTCCCAAAGATATAACAATTTTACAATTAAAGGTAATTGATTGATTTATTTTTAATGTTTTTTCATAAATGTGTGTGTTTTAAGGAAAAACTGGAGCTTATGACTGGCGGCAGTTGCAGCACAATGCAACTACAAGCGTTTAACAAAGATAACCAACTCGTATGTAACCTCACAAATGATGAGGCTTTATTGGGTTCATACCCCATAGACGATGGTATGCGTATACATGTTGTAGACAGCTTTCTTATAAGAAACGAGCTGGATTTTGGAGACGTCGAAAAACTGGAGATATCCGACGAACAGTACAGCCAAAAGTCAAACACAGTAAGAGCATTTTTAATGAGGAACAAAATGGGGAAGTACAACGAGGAAAATCAGAGCAAAAAAGAACAACAAATACAGGAGGAACAAGATTTAGCGGATAAAATTACAGTTGGCAGTAGGTGTAAGGTTACCGTATCCTCTGCACCTACCCGGTTGGGTACTGTAATGTACTCTGGGTTTGTTGACGAGTTAAATGGGCATTTTGTTGGGGTTAAGTATGATGAACCACTTGGGAAGCACAATGGAAGGTAAATTATTGTTTTATACTTTTGCAGGAAATTGCACTGTTAAAAACACCATGAGTTTGATTGACACCATTCAAAAATAGACATTTTAAATAAAATCCGGGTTTTTAACTAATTTTGGGATGATTACGTTAAAAACGCTTCAGATTTATAACAATGTTGCCAGATTTAAAATAATTTTACTCTTTAGGAAAATTTGATATGCAACATTAAAATTGGGAAAGTTACCAAATTACCAAAAAATACATGCCCAAACTTTGTTTTATTTTTATAAAACATGCAAACCCTGAATTATGTTTTACCACCAAGATTTTGTTACAGGGTGTTATGTAATTAATGTAATATATTAAAATGGGTAGTTCCTTAGGGACAATAAAGAAGCACCTGAATTTTTTTTTTTCTAAATTTCAAAGACTAAAAATAATTTATAATAACCTTTATCCTACCAAAAAGTACGCCACTGATTAACTAGGAACTTTAGACTAATCTGGTTGCCTAATTTAATTTATTATGTTATGGTTGGTAACAAGCAGCGTTTTCAGATTATGTCAAAAAAGTTGCCAAAGTTTGTTTAAAGTTAATTACAAAAATGACAAAATCAACAATGCAGTTTGTTAATTTGGCGTTTTTATTAATTGTTTATTATGTCATTTTTGTAATGAAGGTAAATTCAAACAAAATCTGGCAACTTCTATGACATATTCTAGTGCATTTCTTTCAAATTTTAGGTTATGTGCTCAAATTGTAAATATCTTAACTAAGGAAAGTGCTTTTGAATTTATTAACAGAAATTAAATGTTTAATGTTTAACCTGTAAACTTGTCCTAATTTAATCTTAGTAAACAGAAAGAAAAAAACCGATGAAAAAATTAATTTTGTGGTTATGGAGTTTTTAAAATAGGTACTAAATTGCTTAAGCTAATAGCTGGATGAGTAAATAAATACAGAAGGGCATTAGAGCTTTAAGGGGATTAAAACTTTTGTATTTATTGAGTTTTTATTTATTTATTGCAAGAAAAATTTTTAGTAACAATTGTTTGCAACTGCCAACGCGCACTACTTTGTTGGTATGTACTCACAGAACACAAAAAATATAAAAAACTTCTAATGCATATTTTTTCTGTATCTTTGAAAAATATTTTTTTAAATATCTTTCCGTTACACCTTATGTCAAAAGGTATTCAGTATTTAAATATATTACATTAATTACATAACACTCTGTATACAGGGCCAAAAATTGACAGCCCAAAGGGATTGCCTAAAATTTCAAGACGAATTTTTTAGAAATCGCAAAATTGCAGAAGTTATCTAATTTTTAAGGCAGCCAATGAAATCTCGGTATTTCTGCTATATCGAACGGACCTTTTGACTTGCAACAACACGCACCGAATTTGTTTTTGTTTACTTTTTCACAATGATAAAAAATATTTTGTTACCAAAAAATATAACAAAAAGTCCGATCGAGCAGAAACTGTCTTGAAATTTAAGACACCCTGTATATATTTATTAACCATTTTTTTTAGTATAAAAGGAAAACAGTATTTTAACTGTGAAGATAAATATGGAGGATTTGTGAAGCCACAAAATGTAATTTGTGGTGAGTTCCCTGAACAAGATTATGATTTGAATGAAGAAATATAATCTCTACTTAGTTTTACTGCTTTAATTAATTTTTATAATGTGATGCTAATTTTAAATAACTTGGTATTATCTTAAGGCTTTATTTATAAAATTTGTAGTAATAAAATAAAATTTTTCATTTTTATTTCATTTAATAATAAATAAAATATTTTTTCTACTCCCACCTTTAAAACGCCCTTTATTGTACATGTTTTCATGACACTAAGTGACCTTTTAAATACACATTGACAAGTTGTGGCTTTATGGCGCTTTAGTCACGGGCTAAAGTTAGCAACAGGTTTTTAGTCACAGGCTAAAGTTAGTTGACAGTTGTCAAATGTCATACAATCGTTAAAATAAAGTGCTTTTCTTGTAAAATAATACTAAATGTGAAAATTATTTTAATAATAATTATTATTAATAATTATCTCAATACAAAAATACAAAAGTATTAAATAGTTTCTCAACGCCAATATTTGAAAAGTTTATATGAACATTGTACTGACCATTTAATTTCGTCGGCAGTAAACTTAAATTCGGGCACGGACTCCACTGTAAAGTGCTCATAAAACTTTTTCTTTACTTTCACTGTGAAAAACTGTCAATTTTAAAGAAATACATTTTGATTTATAATCTGTGTTTATAAAATTTAAAAATGTGACATTTGACGGTGACACACAGATTCCCCTATTGTTTCATAGATGGCGCTCTATACAAATTTTTGATTTAAATCATTTTAAGATATTAATAAGTATATGTCGTAAAAAAAGTATAGTATGCACCTCGTTTATAAACTTTTCTATACACTCATTAATTTAAGCACTCGCTCGCAAGCTAGCTCGTGCCTAAATTAAATTCGTGTATAAAATGGCGTTTATCAAACTTGATACATAATATACTATTAATCTAGGCATCCTTTGTATTTTGTGCCATATTTTTTTAAAATCAAATGAAAAATCTTGGTGAGCTTTGAAATATTAGTTTTCTTTACTTGGTACGTCATTTCACACGTAGATGGCGTTAAAACGACCTTGAAAAGAAGTAAAACGGCCTTGACTGTGTAAACAATAACATTACATCGATTAAACCATATTTCCTCCAGTTTGCGAACATAAATTACCGTATATTTACACATTTTATCGCCACTTAAAAATTCTATTGTTCAGTGCGAGTGTCGTTTCATAACCAAAAAAATGATTGCGATAAGCTGGCCGGCCGTGGGTGCGACGATTTTACCGAACTTGGGCGGTATAGCCGGTGGTTTTATAACTAGGAAGCAAATTAAAAGTAAATGGTACGATTCGCTGAAAAGACCCGACTGGAGGCCCCCAAATTGGGCCTTCGGGCCTGTCTGGACCAGTTTGTATTGTTCGATGGGGTATGCTTCATACATGGTTTTTAGAGATGGGGGTGGATTTAATGGTAACAATATTTTAAATAATACAACCTTAAACTTTGATCGTTAATTAATTGGCTGTATATGACCTTTGTTTCAATGGAAAATAAGTACCTATGCTATGCAACATGCTATTAAATTGATAATTTTTGATAAAAAATTAGGCTACCAAAAAGTAAAATTTCAGGGTGGTACATTAAATACAACAATAATTATTTTTGTTGCTTAATTTAGTTAATTTTATTTAAGGCCCAGCAAAAATACCCTTAATGGTTTATGGTACAAACCTTGCTTTTAATTGGGCATGGACTCCTATATTTTTTGGAGCACATAAATTAAAATTGGTAAGTAGGTACAAAACTACATATATAATTTCTATGTATCTAATTTAATACTATTAATAGAATATGACGCAAAAAAATTAATTATATAGGTACTTAAGTAACTTGTACATTGGTAGTTTTTTTAATAATTATAAATTCTATAATTAATTTTTTTTCTTAACTTGCTATATTTTAAACTTAAGGTCCTTCCTTAAGTTAAGGAATTGTCAACGCCTCTAGCGGAAATGACCGTAACTATCAATTTTACGCAAGTTTCATTTTGATAATTTTTATTTGATTTAAAATTTTCTAATCTCCAGCTCCTTTTTATTCTCATTAAATAATTATATAGCTGAATTTGTATTTTCTTTTTCTTTTTTTGTAATTATATAGCTGAATTTATATATTCTTTTACTTTTTTGTATTTGACAATAAATAAACCATTTATTATTATTATTATTATTATTATTATAGAAGTTTTACACAGATTTTCGACATCATGTCCCAATTGCTCGAACATTGTCGACTTTTAACTAAAAATTCGTTTTATATTTTGTTTAAAACATGATTTTTATGAATGTATTTAATTTATTTTTTCAAAAAAAATATGCTACTATAGGCTGTTATCATCGTAACAAAACAACTTTTGATAATCAGCTGTGTTACAAACGAGTGTTTTTGAAAATAAAGAAGGAAAATGTTAAAAAAAAACCGTGACACGATTTGTTGTGTTGTTGGTTAAACCTTTACTCAATGGTTAAACCGAATGAAGAAATAAATTTCATACATTCCCTAAATATAAATATAAATTGTAAATATAAATTGTTTCTATTAGATACAAATACACATTTTAATAATTAACGTGAAAAGTGTAAACATTTCAATTTGGTAATAATCGTCAAACAAATAAGTCTAAATATAAACAGCATTTAGAATTATTAAAAGCGTTGATTAATTCTTTCAATATTATGTATTATATATAATATTATGTTGCCATGAATTCGTAGGTATATTTTGTTTAAAATGCAGTTGTCGGCGTTTTTTACAGAACTCAAATATAAAAATGGTTGATTTTAAGGTTATGTTTGTGCAAAAATTATTTTTTACCAATTTCCAATGTCCAAACTTAAATATAAATTATATTAGGTAAAGTTATCTTTAGTTAATTTTGCACCAACAATGTACTTACCGAATTGGATCCTTCGGCAAAACATGAAAATGCAACGATTTAGTTCTTGAATTTTATTTACAATTAAAAACACAATAATTTACCATGATCCCTTAGATAAATTACACACACTAACGTAACTATATAAGCATTTAAGCGTTGAGGTTCTTAATAAATGATATAAAGAATAATCAATCGAAATCGAGTTCTAAACCAGTTTTTTAGTTTTTTCCTTGCAACGTAAAACACAAATAACGTGCGCGATTTAGCTGTGCAATTAAACAAAATTTGTCGAGTAAGACTTCTGCCTTCCTCCCTTTTGTGAAAAAACTACCTTTTTACTTAAAAATGATTTACAGTTCGTATGCGTTAAATGTATTGTTGATAATTCTTAAATTCACGTAAATACACCCACCAGATGGCTCGCGCGTTGCGAAAACCCGATACTTCTTTAGCGAATTGTATAACATTAAATTTACCTACCTTCTTCTCATACCATGTTAAATTTATGAATATTATTTTTTAGGCATTATATGAAATCCAATTAATAAATGCAACAGCAGTGGCCTCTGCTTATTTGTTCTACAAAATAAATCCAAAAGCAGGTTACATAATGGTCCCTTACATGGTTTGGTTGGGTTTAGCCACTGCCCTCAATTACGTAATTGCCAGAGACAACCCAGAGGGCGCAACCATCAAGGAAATACAAGATTAAATAATAAAGTATTGTTACTGTTTGTTTTTGTTTTTTATTAAATAAATATTTTATAAGAGCGGTATTATTAGTTTTTGCATTGCAAAATGTTCACCTAAATAAAGTTGACACGAATTTTAATTTACTTAATTGTGAAACTGCTTTATTATTTTTGGCATCAGTCTGTATTAAAATTAAGACCAGTTAAACAACATTGTAAAATGAGTATTTTATTGTATTTAATACTTCTTATTTACCATGTTAAATCCCTGTACATACCAGGTGAGTAAATATAAGTATAAACAAAATATAATTAAAAATATGTATTTTTAGAGTCAAATTTGGCAATAAATAATCAAAATGCCTCTGAAATACAGCATGCTGTCTGTAATATTGCAACAAAAGAAGTTAACGCAAGCGCTAATGCGACTATAACTCGTGAGTTACGGGGTGTTTGCACTTCAAGTGAGTTACAAATATATACAGAAGGATGTTTAAAAAAGCGATATTGTTGTTTTTTGATGATGAATAATATTTTCTTATTGCTTTGTATATTAAAGTTATAAAAAATTGTTTAATACAAATTTGTAGAGAATTAAATAAACTACAAATTGACTTTTTTCCAAGGTCTAGAAATATTTGTAGGAAAAAACATTGAAAAAATCTTTTTAATGAAAAATATTTAAACCTTGGGCAACTTTTGACGTCATTTTGTTTATATAGTTTTCGGAGAAAACAGTATACTGTTTTCTTATGAGAACATAGATAATATAATAAATATACTGTTCCAGACTGGGCCAGTTACTTTTTCAAACATTTTCTGAAATATCTGTTTTCTAAATTTGAATTCAAGGGAAGTGACGATTATACCAGCTGGGAACTAATTAAATACATAATTTATTGGAAAATATAAGATTTATTGCAACTTTGAGCATATAATAAATTAAATATCTTAAAATCAAATAATACCACTCATCAGTGGCAGCTGGTGGATTTTTGGTATACCAATATCTCAATTATTAGATATGGGACCCACACCAAATTTTTATGACTTTATAATGACATTAAATAAACAAGTTCTGAGCAACTAGAATTTAAATTGAAGTTTGCGAAAAAAAGATAACCGAAACATGGAACTGACGACACAGTATGAATGATACAAATTTGAGATTATTCGGAATTAAGTATTTTACTGATATTTTTTATTAGTGGATGTTACTTATCAACAAATCACATATAGCCTTATATAAATTACAATGAAATATATATACGTAAGAAAATAACTACTCACCACAGTACTGACATTTTGACTGGAACTATACGTGCATTTACCACAACTTCGCCGCTTGCATTGTTTTCAAGATGAATGTCGTGCAAAGGGCGGGCTCTGTAGGTAATTTTTTACCAACACTTGAGTTAAAACGAGGACTTGACATTTAAACTTCAATATTTCGCAGGAATTTTGAATTTTAACATTGGACACAGAACTGACATGTAAAAGTGAGTACAAAGATTATCAATTTTTTAAAAATTGCTATTATTCCAATCTATGATAAAATTTGAAAAATACATTATAGTTTGTAGTGAAATTGAAAAATTTAAGATAAATTGAATATATTTTAAAATAAAATCACTCAAATATTTGATTCAGGAGTTGTGACACGCCAAGGTACTAATGTTTTGAATATTTATTATGTTTTTCTACAAACGTGCTCTTGAAAAAATACATTACAATTGGGTGGACAAGTTAAAAAAACCTGGATCTTTTGTAATATACTAAAATATTTACAAAAAATATTAAAACACCTACTCTATTGACTGATGACATCAAGTTGTCCAACTTTTGTAGAATCACCCATATATTATATATTCCTACTTAGTTATATTTATATTTTAGATCAATTAACGTCTCTTTTAAATCAACTAGAAGAAAAAATATTCAAAGAACTGAAAGAAATTAAGTTGTTGTTAAACCCTTCCGCTTATAAAACCGCTATAAAACCAAATGACGCTGAGTACGAGTACGACAACGAAAACGATTCTAAAGAAGTGAAATCGTTGAGTGCCAGATCGATTTCGGAAGAAATAGAAAAATATAACGACAGCATATCACTGGATGATGTGTACACATACTACTGGAAAATAGAGGATATAAAACATGTCGCAAACAAAATGAATATGTACATTAGTAGCCCAGGTTTCGAAATTCTGGGTCATTCTTTGGAAATACAATTTTATCCGCATCATTTGAACACAGAAAACATTGGAATTTTGCTAAGGCCATCAAGTAGAAGTTTTATAAAACAACATAAATTTTCTGTTGTCGACCAGTTTAATTTTGATGATTTGAGCTCGGAAATTTTGGGTAAATTATCTGTGGACGTGAAAATGTTCATTGTTCCACCTGAAATACTGAATGAGGCAAAATACACACATAAAAATTGTTTAATTATTAAAGTTGACATTTACTTAAATTCTTAAACAATTATTGAATTTTTACTTAAATTAAATTATAATTATAATATCTAGGGTACCATTCGGCATGTATCTAAAAAAAATGTTATTAGGGATATTAGGGAAAAATAATAAAAAAAATTCTAAATCTTGTTTATTTTATTTTGTTTTTAAAACTTAAGTACAATAAAGCAATTACCAACCAAATCTTTTGGTTCATTTAAAAAAAATAACATAATTTACATAATATCTTGTTAAAAATTATTTAAATCCAGTTTAAATTAATTAAAATAAATTTAAAAAGTAAGGTATTGCGGCTTTTTGAAAAAATGGTTAATTATTTCTAAAAATGGCTCAAAATGTAGTTATATACATTATAGTTATATACAATATAACTGGGGTGGGGTGAATTTCTAACCTCCATTATGTTTATAAGACAGTGCTACAATTTTAACTACATTATTATTGGAAAAATTAGTCACTAAAAACAACAATCCCATTGAAAAAAAAACGATTTTTGTAATTAATTTTCCTTAAAATTTACTTTGAAAATCAATAAATTCTTTCGGTAGAATGACGATGTTATAAGTGGTATATTGAAATATTCGTAGGTACAGTAGGCGTGTCAAGATTTACATATAAAGTACATGCGAAAAATAAATTTTTTTTTTACTAAACCCTGGAAAGAAATTTAAAAATAATTACAAAACCCACTTATAAACCCCAAAAAAGCCCAGTGGGTTGGGTTTTATTAAAAAAACGGTTTTAAGTATTTTTTGGACGTTAAAATAATTTACATATTTTATACCTCATTTGAGTTCGAAAAATTTCGGACTAAAAGATATTATAAATAAGGATAAAACATAAATAATGGTTAGGGATAAATGTACTTAAATTGATTTTATTATAAAACTAAAAAAATAGAATTGGAATTAATCAAAGAAAAAAAATAAAAAAGGCAAACTTAAAAAACTGATGAATTTTACAAAAAAACTAAAAAAAAATTATTTTTATTTTGTATTTTTTTCAAAAAAGTGCATTCAAAATCAAATAGTTTTAAAAAACGTACCATTTAGTCAATTTTTAAATAAGTTATGGGTATTTGAAAAATTTTAACCTATTTTTGGTTGGGTAAAAAAATTGGAAAAAATTATAAGAAATATTTTAGTGGGGTAGAAAAAAATTAAAAAAAATTCAGCCAAATCGAAAGGGGTTCAAAAGTGGTCGATTTGGCGTAGAACGACCCATATGCATTTTTGGTGTTCTAAATTACACACAAAAAATACATACGTATTTTATTATTTTCAGAAAATAAGACGAAATTAGCGTTAAACTGACAGATAGGTAACCTCAATTATTTGTATTCAAATGTCAAAGTGGGACTTTTGGGTGTGGGGAAAATAAGGTTTTTCCGCACCTTAACATGGTTAAAATGGAATTTTTTAAAAAGTCGGAAATTTACAATAAAAATTGTAATTTGAAGATGATTAAAATTATTAAAACACCTTTTCTCCAGATTTTTATATAAATTTTCATAAAATATAAATGAGCCATTTCTAAAATCCCTATTTTACGAAAAAGCCGCCATACGTTACAATTATGAAAGATAAAGTTAAGGGCAAGATAAAATTTTTTAAATAAATCCTAAATTAGTATTATAAAGTTCGTTTTTTTATTTGGTTAAATTTGATATTGGACCCGTAATTTGTTATTGTAAAATAAAAGAAATAAGTTTAAGGGGAAGGTGTGACGGCCCCCAACATAATAACAACAAAACTCCCAAATTTTTGACACAAATAAAAAAAACAACTTTATAACTTTTTAATTAATTTTTTTAAAGCTTTCCTACAAAGTCCCTTATCTAATACAAATGCCATTTATGAAATGACAGGTTATGCAAAAATCGTAACAAATTTTCAAGGGACTCAAATATCTACTTTTATATTAATTAATTGTCGGTAGTATACAGGGTGAGTCGAGGTAAACTCCCAGGTGTCAAAGAAATAATCCATTGTAAAAAAGATAAAAATGTGAAATAAAAAATATTAAAAAGTTCTCAGATATAATAACAAAAATATATTTTGCATGGTTGAAGAGATAATATACACTTACTGACGAAAAGATTGCACATTTTATTTTAGGTCTTTTTTTTTAATTTATAATTTTAACTTTTTTTAGGTAAGTCTTGACATCATGTACGATTTTAAAATAAATTTTCTTTTAAAATGTTCAAATGTTAAATATATTCCAAAATATCCAAAAATTACAAATATTTTGAAATTTCACCACATAATAATTATTATTAATTATTAAAATTATTTACATCAAAAACATCGTTAATTTTTTTTTAATATTATTAAAAAAATTAATAATTATTATCTTTTTCCTTAATTAAATTTATAAAATTTCTGAATTGATTAGATAAGTCTTGATATCATTTAAAATATTAAAATAAATTTACTTTTAAAATTTTAAAATATCAAATATAAAACATTTTTTTCAAAATATTCACAATTTTTAATTACTTGAAAAAGTACAAAAATTTGTAAATTTCACCACAAAATTTACATCTAAAACTTTTTTTAATATCATTTATAATTATTAATAAAATTATTATCTTATCTAAGTCTTGATATGATTTAAAATTTTAAAATAAATTTACTTTTAAAATGTTCCAATATCAAATATAAAATATTTTTTTCAAAATATCCAAAAATTTTAATTATATGAAAAATTATAAAATTTTTGACATTTTACCACAAAATTTTCAAAATTTACATCCAAAACTTCAAAAACATCGTTAATTTTTTTTTTAATATCATTAAAAATTATGAATAAAAATATTAATAATTATTATCTTTTTCCATAATTAAATTTATAATTTTAAAATATGACACTCTTAAAAATGTTTGGATAAGCCTTGACATCATTTAGCATTTTAAAATAAATTTACTTTCAAAATGTCAAAAAAAAATCGTAATTAAAATGTTCAAATATCAAATATAAAACATTTTTTTTTATTTCCAAAATTATTAAAATTTACACAATATGTAAAACTTCAAAAAAAATCGTTCTTTTTTTTAATATTATAAAGGTGTCCTTAAACTTATAAATTTAGGAAAAGATTGAGCAAGTCAAAATAAGACGAAAACCTAAATAAATATTTGTCTTAATTACTTTTGTTTCCAAGATACAGGGTGATAAGGTGCTTTCAATTAAAAAATTTGTTATCATATACCTTTTAGTCCTTTGCGATATAACAATTATTTTAATCTCGAATATCTCGGAAACGGTTTATTTTATCGAAGTTTGAGAGGTACACCTTTTTAATAGTAGCCGAACTGAGTAATCGAAAAATTGCATCAAATGGTACAAAAACCTAACCTCAAAGTTTGTATGGGACAATAAGCTTAAGCAACCCCTGTTTCTACAACACTGTGCTCACTCAAAGAATTGTAATTATGTGTGAATATGTGTTTTGGTAGTAAGTAACTGCTCGCAAAATATCACCTTTCTTATATTATATTAAAAAAAACTGATATGATATGTAACACTATCACCCTGTATCTTTTAAACATACGTAATTAGGAAAAATATTTATTTAGATTTTCGTCGTATTTTGACATGATTAATCTGCTCCTAAATTTATGACACTAAGTTTAGGGACACCTTGTATATTAATAATAATTTATAATAGTATTAATAATTATTAACATCTTTCTCCATAATTAAATTTATAATTTCAAAATATGACATTCCTAAAACTACACTCACTGGCAAAAATATTGCACATTTTATTGTAGGTCTTTTTTTTTCTTTATCAATTTTGTGATTTTGTAGCATAATCTGTGTTTTACGTATACAGGGTGTTATGTAATTAATGTTATATATTAAAATACTGAATACCTTTTGACATAAGGAATAAAGGAAAAATATTTAAAAAAACATTTTTCCGAAGATAAAGAAAAAATATGCATTAGAAGTTTTTTATATTTTTTGTGATACGCCACTGGTTACACACTTGTTTATCTCTGCACATCTGTATTTTGTGAGTACATAGATACCAACCAACAAAGTAGCTATGCGTTGCCAGATGTAAAAAATTGTTACTAAAAATTTTTCTTGCAAAAAATAAATAAAAACTCAATAAATACAAAAGTTTTATGCCCTTAAAGCTCTAATACCCTTCTGTATTTATTTACTGATCCCGCTATTAGCTTAAGCAATGATTAGAAAATTTAGTACCTTTGAAATTTGAAATCCATAACCACAAAATTAATTTTTTCATCAGTTTTTTTCTCTGTTTACTCAGATGAAATTGGGACCAGTTCACAGGTTAAACTTTAAACATTTAATTTGTGTAAATAAATCCAAAAGCACTTCCCTTAGTTAAGATATTTACAATTTGAAAACATAACCTAAAATTTAAAAGAAATGCACTAGATTCTGTCATAAAAGTTGGCAGATTTTGTTTGAATTTACCTTCAGTACAAAAATAAAATAACCAACAATCAATAAAAACGCCAAATTGACAATTTGCATTGTTAATTTTGTCATTTTTGTAATTAAGCTAGATTTAAACAATGTTTGTCAACTTTTTTGAGAGATTTTGGAAAAACTGTTGTTACCAACCATAACATAATAAATCCACCAGATTAACCTAAAGTTCCTAGTCGATCAGTGGCGTACTTTTTGGTAGGATAAAGGTTATTATAAATTATTTTTAGACTTTGGAATTTAGAAAAAAAAAGTTTCAGGTGCTTCTTTATGGACCCTAAGGAACAACCCATTTTAATATATAACATTAATTACCTAACACCCTGTAGATTAAATCCTTGACACCTTTAAAGAAATATTCACATCAATTGACCTAATTACGACGTACTTTCAATTCTAGAGTTAAAGATCAGAGTTTGCACTTGTTACCTTTGCGGGTGATGTTGATGTAGGGCTGGACAAGAGGGTGCATCTCGTGCGTGCTCTTGAACACGGTGACGTCGTCGATGAGCCGGGCTTCGCTCGGTTTTTCCGGAAGTTCCGGCTCGTCGAGGGTTCCGGCGCCGCCGTCGGCGGTCGAGAGGACCGCCACCGCCATTTTTTTGCGGTGCGGGCCGTTTTCGCGCAGGATGTCCTGCAAGAATGCGGTACTTTAAAAATTTTCCCCCGTTTTCGTGAAAATCGATTTTAGGTTCTAAAATTAATGGCGGATTTTGAGGTCGCAGCAGACTTCACAGAAAATCTAAATGAGTGAGTGTTCCTGGCGTAAGAAATTAGTGGCTGTGCATAAGTAAGAGAGTTGATGTTGGAAATAAATCAAATCAAATAAAAATTTCAATTTACCAAATTTAAATATACATTTTAAAAATCTCTAAAATTTCCATAATTTTCAATAATAAAAAAATTACAAAAAATTTTAAATTTCATCAAAAAATTTTTACAAGTTACAAAATTACAATATATCTAAAACTTATTTTTAAAATAATTAATAATTTATTACTCCATAATCAAATTTATAACTCTAAAATATGCAATTCTTAAAAATGGGTCATTCCACGTTACTCGGGGATTTTTGTCCCGCCCGTCACAATTAAAAATTGTGAGTAAAAACTACACGTTATAAAATTTATTTAAAAATATTGTTTTATCCACGACTACCTTATAATATATACTTTATAAATTAGTTTTCTAAAGCAAAATGATATTCATATTTCACAGAGTGAATAATAGCAGTGAATAATCATTATTCACTGGTCTAGAGTTCCTATATAGGACACACGATATAGATTGTATCTGGCAAGCACTTATAAGTTCGTCTAGGCAATTATAGCCAGGCACTTTAATTATCTAACTTTATACCAATCATAAAAGTCTTGTTAAAGTATTACTTTAATACGTTTATTTAATGCAATTGAATAAAAATTTAACATTAAGTAGACTATTTCAAGTAAGTAAGCCATTGACATGACATGACAAGCTTAGCATAAATTGCTGTCAATTTGAAACGTCATAACTTCGATTCAGCACACGATTTTTGTTACAAATTATTATTAATATTAAATTATACATAAAAAATCAAAGCGTGAAAGATGAAGAGATGTTACGCAACAAAACATCACAGAAGTCACTTTTCGAAATACGAATTACCTAAAAAATCACATTCATTGGAAATAAAATACTGCATAATCTATAAATAATAGAATTATCAAGTAGGTAGTAAGCCATGTAATCAACTGACAACTAATAATTATTTGAAACGTCAAATTTTAACGACGCGGTGGTGCAATAATAATTCCTGTTAAAATTATAATTTGCTTTCAAAAATACGTTAACAATGGAAATTGATAGTGAAGAAGATATATTGTGTACTCCACCGGAGATAACAGAAGCTGCAAAAGTCACTTCCCTGAATTTGTTGCCTGAGAAATCCCAAAATTTGTACGTATCTGTGTACAACACCTTTATGGACTGGAGAGCGACCAAGAAAATTAATTCATTCTCAAAGTCTGTTTTACTGATATATTTTATATATATATTACAATTAATATAAATAAATAGTTTTAAAAATAGTCACAGGCATCTTTAATTTTTGGTTTTGTTAATGTCAAATAGGTTATAATAAATATAAATTTTTTTGCATTAAAATCCGTTAAAAGTCAATAGTAGTCGTGGACAAAGCATAGTATTCTACTCACATATAATGAGCTATTATTCACTCAGGTTAATTATGCCACTCGCTACGCTCGTGACATAAACTTAACCTTCGTGAATAATAGCCCTCATTATATGCTCGTATAATAATATACTATTATTATGCTTTTAATAAGTTATAAGCACAATAAAAATAATATTATAAAATATTAATTTGTGGTTTTTACTCACAATTTTTAATTGTGACGGGCGGGACAAAAATTACCGAGTAACGTGGAATGCCCCAAATGTTAAAGTAAATTTTCTTTTGAAATGTTCAAATATCATATATAAAACATGTTCTTTAAAATATCCAAAAAATTATAAAATTTAAAAAATTACATTTTTGAAATTTCACCACATAATTTTCAAAATTTGCAATATCTAAAACTTTAAAAACACCGTTAATTTTTTAAATAACATTTATAATTATTAATAAAATTATTAGTAATTATTATTAAAATTATAATTATAAAATATGACATTCTTAAAAATGTTTAGATAAGTCTTGACATCATTTAAAATTCGAAACGCACGAATTACAAAAGTGTTTTTATAAAAGAAATTGTAGAATATTTATTATATAATATTTTGGCATCAAAATTGTCAAAAATATTCTTCTTTTATTAGGTTATACATTTAATAAAAAAAACGAAAGAAATATTTTATAAAATTACTACTGTAGAGATAATTTTAAATATAATATAATATTATATAATAATATAAAATATAATATTTGAAAAATATTGAAATTATCTTTACTTTTATAAAATATTTCTTGCGCTTTTTTTTATTTAATGTATAGCCTAATAAAAGAAGAATATATTTGAAAATTTTGATGCAAAAATACTATACAATAAATTCCCAGCATGTGTGATTTGTCCCGTCCGTCCGCTTGAAATGGCGGAAGTCATTATTTTTAAAATATTCAAAAATTTTAATTATAATAAAAATTACAAATTTTTTAAAATTTCACCACTAAATTTTCAAAATTTGCAATAATTAAAAATTATTAACAAAATAATTAATAATTTTTATCTTCATAATTAAATTTATAATTCTAAAATATGAAATTCTTAAAAATATTTAGATATAAAATTTTAAAATAAATTTACTTTTAAAATGTTCAAATGTATCAAATATTTTTTTTTCAAAATATCAAAAACTTTTAATTATTTGAAAAATTACAAAAATTTTATTTTCACCCCTTTTTAAAATTTCAAATATCTAAAACTTTAAAAACATCGTTAATTTTGTTTAATATCATTAATAATTATTAATAAAATTATTAATAATTATCAACTTTCTCCAAAATTAAATTTACAATTTTAAAATATGACATTCTTAAAAATGTTAAGATAACTCTTGACATCATTTAGAATTTTAAAATAAATTTTCCTTTAAAATGTTAACATTTTTTAAGTTAACTTAATTAATAAAATTATTAATAAAATTAATTATCAACTTTCTCTATAATTAAATTTATAATTCTTAAATATGACATTCTTAAAAATGTTTAGATAAGTCTTGATATCATTTAAAATTTTAAAATAAATTTACTTTCAAAATGTTAAAATATCAAATATAAAACATTTTTTCCAAAATATCCACAATTTTTAATTATTTAAAAAATTACATAATTTTAGAGTTTTCACCACAAAATTTACTTCTAAAACTTCACCATTAATTAATAATTATTAATAAAATTAATAATAATTATTAATGAAATTATTAATGATGATATTTCTCCATAAATTATTATTATTAATTTAAAAGTAAATTTATTTTAAAATTCTAAATGATGTCAAAAGTTATCTTAACATTTTTAAGAATGTCATAATATAGAATTGTAAAATTAATTATGCCATAATTAAATTTACAATTCTAAATTATGATATTCTTAAAATATGTTAATTCCATACATGCATATCAAACTATAAATACAAATGATTTTTATATAGAAACTTCTAGAACTGCTAAATGTATGAACAATGTTTTTAAAAATGGCCTTATTATGTTTAATAATTTACCAACAGAAACTAAAAATTGTGATAATTATAATAACTTTAAGAAATTACTATTGACATAATATATTATATTAAACAAAACGTGTATATGTAATGTATTTATTTATGTAAGAAACTATAATAGCTTTAGCTAAATAAACGTTTATTTATTTATTTATAAAAGTGTTAAGATAACTCTTGACATCATTTTGAATTTTAAAATAAATTTACTTTTGAAATGTTGAAATATCAAATTTAATTTTTTTTTCATGATATCCAAAATTTTTAAACATTACAAATTTTTTGAAATTTCACCACAAAATTTACAATATCTAAAACTTGGTTAATTTAATTAATAATAATAAATTATTAGTAAAATTATAATTATAATTAATAATTAATTATAATAATTATTAATAATTTTCATCTTTCTCTTTAATTAAATTTATAATTCTAAAATATGACATTCTTAAAAGTCTTGACATCATTTACGATTTTAAAATAAATTTTCTTTAAAAATGTTCAAATATTAAATATAAAACATTTTTCCAAAACTTACAAAATTTACATCTAAAACTTCAAAAACATCGTTAATTTTTTAAATAACATTAATTATTTTTAATAAAAATTATTAATTATTATTGTTTTTCCTTAATTAAATTTATAATTCTAAAATACGACATTCCTAAAAATGTTTAGATAAGTCTTGACATCATTTAAAATTTTAAAATAAATTTACTTTTATAATGTTCAAATATTAAATATAAAACATTTTTTTCAAAATATCAAAATTTTTTAATTTTATGAAAAATTTTGACATTTCACCACAAAATTTACATCTAAAAATTCAAAAACATCGATAAATTTTTTTAATATCGTAAATAAAACTATTAATAATTATCTTTTTCCATAATTAAATTTATAATTCTTAAATATGACATTCTTAAAAATGTTCAGATACCTTTTATCATTTAAAAAAAAATTACTTTTAAATGTTTTAAATTATCCAATATAAAACATTATTTCCAAAATATTCAACAATTTGAAAAATTACAATTTTTTTGAAATTTCATCACAAAATTTTCCAAATTCTTAAAATTTAAAAAATATCGAACTCTTGTCATTTTAAAATAAATTTAAAAAAAATCATTAATATTATTAATATATTTCTCCATAATTAAATGTATAATTCTAAAATGACATTCTTAAAAATGTTTAGATAAGTCTTGAAATTTAAAATTTTAAAATAAATTTACTTTTAAAATTAAATAAAAACTTACCTTGTAAAATGCAATAATATCTTCCTTGTTGATAGTTCTTAAGTAGGCCACCTCCACATTGGCCCTATCAAAATGATATTGTTGAGCAGTGATTTCGGACCAAAAGAGATGCGACTGCGAACTCAATTGTTTAGGTTTTTCCAACCTATGGGCCGCCAGGGCTTCCCTATGCCTTAAAAATTCCTGATCGGACATATCCGTAATGTATTTCTGGAAGAAGAAATAAATTACGTAGAAAAATTGGTTAATTAAGGGTTTAGCAGTTTTTTCTCACCAGCATTCCTTCCAAGAATTCCTCTATCCTGGAATCCAAAAATTCTGGATGTTTGTCAGATTGGACAATTATTCTTAATCCTTGCACACCGTTTGATCTTCTTATGCCACTGAAGACTATATAACCTAGTTGTTCCTAAAAGTACAATACAAAGATATTACTTTACCACTATCCCACACCTAAAATTGTTAAAAACCACAGAAAAATATGGTAAAATAAAACAAATTGGGATAAGAATTAATATAAGTTTTTGGATAAAAAAAAATCTGAAAGTGTGGAAAATATAAAAATCTAAACTATAGACTTGAAAATTGTGAATAAATCACACTCCAAAAAAAATATAAAATTGTATTGTAAATAAAGTACATCATAAAACTTGATGATTTATAAAATAAAAAAGTCAAAAAAATTATGAAAACAATAAACAAAATACTATAATAATAATTTTTGAATTTATTAAAACATAATCTGATATCTATAAAATGAAAGATATAAAAATGTTTGGAAAAATATAGTTTCCCATAAAAAATAAGAAAAATTTTGTAATCGGTTTTTTAACTCCATTTACTAGTTCATGTATTTGTTCAACCTATCTAGCTACAGATAAAAAAACCTAAATTTGTTGAAAACTACACTGCCCGTCAAAATTAACGCATAATAAGTAAAAAAATTCTAACTTTTAAACGCCTTTACCAATCTTTATGAAATTATGTATAAAAATACTTATTTCAGTTTACGTGTTGGACGGTTTTTAAAAAAAATATTTTTAAAGCCCATTATTTAAATAATAAAAAAAACGTTCTAAAAATAACTTTTGGAGAATTTTTTTTAAGTGAATTAAAAATATGGTGTTAAAGACCGTATTTTTGTTAGTATACCCTAAACATTTTGTGCAAATCAAAAGAACAGTAACAAAGATACAGCGCTTCAAAGTCGTCAAAAATGAAAATTTTTCAGCAAAATAATCAAAAAGGGGTAATTTTTACCGACTTTGAAGCGCTGTATCTTTGTTACTGTTTGTTTGATTTGTACAAAATTTTTATGGTATACTAACAAAAATACAGTCTTTAACACCATATTTTTAATTTACTTAAAAAAAATTCTCTAAAAGTTATTTTTAGAACGTTTTTTTTATTATTTAATTAAAGGGCTTTAAAAATATTTTTTTGAAAAACCCTCGAACACGTAAACTGAGATATAAGTTGAAGTATTTCTATACAAAATTTCATAAAGATTGGTAAAGGCGTTTTAGAGTTGGAATTTTTTTACTTATTATGCATTAATTTTGACGGGCAGTGTATATTTTCCTATAGCAACCTTTTAATAAAAAAATCGTAAACATTAAAGAATATTTAAAAAAATAATAATACCACAAAACAATTTTAAAAAATTAAATAAAGAGTCAAAACAATGTCAAGTAAAAACTTGAAAGTTTATTTAAAAAAATAAAAATTGATTTTTATAGTCCATTATTGAATTTTCAAGAATTTTTTTCTTTTATTGTATTAAATTTAGTACAAAAGTTTGTGCTACAAAGTAAGGAAAACAAAATAAAAAAATCTTACCTTAGTCCTGAGAATATTGAAGCAAGGCTCCTGAATAATTTGAGCAAACAACTCCAACTTCATGTTGTTCTCTTTGGACTGCAAGCCGCACTGGTAATAGAGTTCGATGCAAGAAGACTTATGCACGCTATTTTCCACTTGGTAGCGGTAATCCGAACCGTCCTCCAGTTTCAACTCGCGGTTTAGCAGCAGCTGTCGCGGCAAAAGTGGCGACATATTCAACGTTGAAGTTAAATGATCCTCCACCACCTTGACGAGCTTTAGAGCTTTTTCTTTGTTCGCGTTGCCGTGTATGAGGCACTCTATGTGCATTTTGGAGAGCATCTGAGGGATGAATACTTCCAGTTTGTCAATTGTCACCTCTAAAAATGTTGTACGTTTTTAGGTGATTATTTTCGCTAAATTTAACATACTAAAAACTGTTTTTAACATGCCAATTTTAAACAAAATATCTAGATGGATATCGACATGTAGGTATATGTATATAGATTTTAAACTAATTTGAAGCGAGACTTTCAAAAAAATCGTTTTTGGTCCAGTACTGTACAAATATACATATAATAAAAAAAATTAAAACTGAACTGAACAGAATGTAAATGTAAACTAGTGTTGCAACGGTTACGGTTACGGTTAATTCACGGTTTTCGATATTATACGGTTAACCGTAACCGTATGTCGTTAACCGTAACCGTATTTACGGTTTTTCATGCTACTTTGTGAATGCATGTAAAAAAAAAAATTGAAGAGTAATTAACGTTACCAAATATACCACCTAAGTCAAATCCGTTTACATTCTGGAAAACGTGTTACACGTTTCGGCGTTTAAGAGTGTTGGCACTAAGGTATTATACAAACCATTGTCAGTGAATTCGGAGAGGTTGTTTTCGACTGCAGGTCTTGTGCAAACACCAAATAGGAACAGGCTGATTCCGCAGAATTTGCAGATGTTATGTTTTTTAAATAAAAATTTGACTCGTAAATTTTGAATATTATAATATTATGTTATAACATTTAATTTTTTTATATTTTTAAATATTTTATTCAGGTACCTACTTAGGTTTTACTTTACTGTTTTTAGGTTTAAAATGTAACTCATTTCCTATTGTTTTACAGTTTTATTAGAAATTCTGTTTTTGTTTTACATAAATTATTATTTAACCTTTACTGAACGTGTGTATTAATTTCAAAACTTTATTTTTCGTAATTCTGTAAATTTTTTTTAAATAACCGTGAATTTATTCGTAACCGTATAGCTAACCGTAACCGTAACCGTAAAACCCGAAACCGTTGCATCACTAATGTAAACGTTTTTTATGTTTTATACAGAGTGCTCCAAGTATCATTCAAGGTCGGTTAAATTAGAAAAAAGTTGCGTAATTACGAGTTTATTATGGCATTTCAAAATTGTGGAAAAATCAGCGGTTCTCAAATAATTTGAAAAAACACCTGCCAAATCAAAAACTGTTATAACATCGTTGTTACAAAAAGAAGTATACTTGGCGAACCCTGAATATTTTATAGAAAAATTATTAGAACTTTATTTATTTTAAAAATTGAAAATTAATGAAAACCTAAAAAATAATAGAATTATAGAGATTTTAAATTTTTTTAAAAGCTGAAATTTTAATAATTTGAAAATTTTGGTAAATTTAAAAATTTTGAAAACTACCTTAAAAACAATGGCAATATTAGAAAAGAAAATTTAGGTTTTTGGAAGATTTTAAAATTCTTAAAATTTTGTTTTTTAAAAATTTAAAATATTTCGCAATTCGATTTTTTTTAATATTAACATTTTTAGAATTTCAAAATATTTGTAAATTTTGTTAAATTAAAAAAATTTGAAAACTGTATTTTAAAAAAATGCAAAATATAGAAAAGAAAATTTGTGATTTTTGGTAAATTTTGAAATTCTTAAAATTTTGGTTTTTCAAAATTAAAAATATTACAAAATTTTGATTTTGAAAATCTTAATTTTGTTTTTGTTATTTTAAATGTGTAAAATAGGATTTAACATTTTAAAATGGCGTTTTAACCGACCTTGTAGCTCTTCTAATAAAATAATACTCATAGAAGTATTATACTTGTTAGACCCTGTATATTTCATAGAAATTTGTAAAATTAAATTTTTATAAAATTTTTAACAATTCAAAATTTAGGAAAACCTACAAAATTAGTTTAAAATTTTGAAAACTGGATTTTAAAAAAATTGCAAATGTAGAGAAAAAAATTTGAAAATTTAGGATTTATAAAATTTACAAAAAAAATTAAAATATTCTAAAATTTCGATTTATCTTTAAATATTAAGTAACATTTTTAAAATTACAAAAAAATTTAAATTTGAAGTCTTCAAAATTTTAAAATATTTCAAAACTTTTTTAAAATCAAAAATTTTAAAAAAAGAAAATCTGTGATTTTTGGTAAATTTTTAAATTCTTAAAATTTTGGGTTTTCAAAATTTTAAATACCGTAAACACGGGTGACTTTGCACCCCGCGGGTGACCTTAACCCATTTATGAAAAATCTTTTCGCGCTCGATAAAATTAACATTTATAACTTGTTGGTCTAAACCTATCATTGAGCGATTCTATTGAGTTTATATTACAGGAAAGTCAGTGTTTTAAAGAAAGAAATGGGTTTTATTACACTTTAAAATTGTATATATCGCATCAGTGCAAAACTCTTAGAAATACACGCGTTACAATTTCTATATTATGCGCAATCCTTTGGAATGATGATCCTTGGTTAACAACAGGTCGATTTTTTATTTTTTTATCGGTAATCCCTTGCAATAGATATATATATATATATATATATATATATATATATACATATATATATATACATATATATATACATATATATATATATATATATATACATATATATATACATATATATGTCGCTGCTAACACGTGTCTAATAAAAATAAAATATAATATTGAATTCATTTTATACGGAAAATACACTGTGAGACAAAGTAACCCGCAACCAGGGGGTAACTTTGCACACCCAGTTTTTTAATTTTTATTTTTGAAACTCATCCCTATGTAATATTATAACATAGTTATTAGGGTGGAGCGAAAAAAAAAATAATTTTTTTTTCCTTAGCCTGGGGGTCGAATTTGTAGCCTATAAAAAAAGAAAATTTTTGAAATAAAAAAAATTTTTTTTACTCAACGTCTTGAGGTGGCCCACTGATTTTTTAAATTAAATTTAAGTTAAAAATCTTTTGAATAAATAAAAAATTTCAAAAGTGTTCCGGAAACTGCGGAGTGTCCTCTTTCTTGATAATTAACAGTTATGAACATAAAAAAAAAATTGTGGTCATTATTGTTGTTTTTAAAAAAATTCCAAAATAGTAACATGCTTTTCTGAGGCAATAGAGCGAATTTCGAGTTGAACACCATCAAATTTGTTTATTTTTAGATAAATTTGAAGATTACAAGCCAAAAAAATTTTTTTTTTATTCAAAAGAATTTTAACTTAAATTTAATTTAAAAAATCAGTGGGCCACCTCAAGACGTTGAGTAAAATTTTTTTTTCTTTTTCAAAAATTTTCTTTTTTTATAGGCTACAAATTCCACCCCCAGGCTAAGGAAAAAAAAATTTCGCTCCACCCTAATAGTTATTATGAAAGAGCAACTCAAGACTCAAATTTTGGTATACAAAATTTAATGTTTATGATTGTTAAAACCACAAAAATTTTAAGCTTAAGTTTGAAAGTGAGCTAAAGCCACCCGTGTTTAGGGTATTACAAAATTTCGATTTTTTAAATATTAATTATTATTTTTATTATGAAAATCTAAATTTTGTTTTTAACATTTAAAATGTGTTTCTACATTCTGTAAAAAGACCCAAAAACACGTTTAAAGGCTCTTAAATAGGTTTTAACATTCTAAAATAACCTTCTAATATAAAAATACACATGTATTGACAAAAGTGCTAAACAAAACCCCTGTATGTGCAATATTAAGTCATAAAGGACAAAGCATATTTTTATTGTTTTTAACAATGAAAATAATCAGGGCAGTATACTTATATGGGTATTTTTTTATAATACTCATACAAAAAGAATATATTTGTATATTTTAAAGAAATTTGTAAAATTATTTTTTTTTTAATTTTTAAAAGTTTAGGGAAACCGAAATAATAATAAACAAATTTGGGCAGTTTAAAACTTTTGAAAAAGTTTGAAAATTTTAAAATATTGTTTAAAATTTACAAAAGAATATTCCAATATTTCGTTTTTTTTAATATTAACATTTTGAAAATTTTAAAACTTAAAAAGTTTTCAAAATTTTGGTACATTTAAAATTTTAGAAAAGAAAATTTGGGATTTTTGGAAAAATTTTAAATTCCTAAAATTTTGGTTTTTCAAAATTTAAAATATTACAAAATTTCGATTTTTTTTAAATATTAATTATTTTTTATGCCATAAGATTTTTTTGTGTTGAAATTCTGTAAAAAAGCAAAAATACGCCTAGAAGTATTATAATAGTATACTTCTATTGGTATTTTTTTATAAAACGCATACAAAAAGAAGTATACTTGGTGCACCCTGTACATTTCATAGAAATTTGTAAATTGCAAAAAATTGAAAATTAACAAAAGAAATTATAGAAAATTTTGAGAAGTTTAAAAACTTTTGAAATTTTTAAATATTTGAAAATTTTGAAAACAAGATTTTAAAAAATTTACAAATTTGAGAAAATAAAATTTCTGAAAATTTGGAATTCCTGGCAAATTTGAAAATTCTTAAAAATTTGTTTTTATTTAAAAATGTACAAAAATATAAATTTAAAATATTCCATTTTTTTTTAATATTGTTTTTGACATTTTTGTTATGAACTAAAAAAAATATTACAAGAATTATAGAAAAAAAATACTCACGGTCTACGGCGGCAAGTAGTTCCTGTTTTGTCCACGCATGCTCAGTAAGCAGCACCGACAAATAATATACAGCGTGTTGATAAGGTTGTTCGGCATTGAAATTTTTTAAGTTTCTGATATACTGTGTAAAGTAAAAAAATACGTTAATTAAAAAAAAGTTGTAAAATGCTTACTTAACTTACGTTTTCTTTATAAATCGCAAATCTTTTGGGGTCGATTTTAAAGTTGACAAGTTTCTCGATCACTTTTTCCAGCAGAATGTGTTGCTTGTTGCTGTAGCCTCCAATGGCAAGCTAAAATGAATTAAAATTTAAATGCATTTTATAAAAAATCATCAAAATTCATTTTAGTTGATTTTTGTATTTTTTATTTTCGCTTTACTTACAATGAGTCCATATTTAGTGTTTACCAACTCCCATCTCAAGCCTGCGCACTCCGCAGCGTACGCATATTCGTTTAGAGCGTCTCTAAACAGTTGTACCAACATGTGGGTTAAGTTGCAATTCAGGGGGTCCAAGTAAGCTAAAGGACTAAAAAAAATATAAATAATAAATGTTTTGGTGTATTTAAAAACGCAGTGACTAGAAGTACACCGGGTGTACGGGCATTAAACGTACATCAGGTTTGCGCGCATGCGTGTTTCCATACCAGCTGATGGTAAAATTTCGGATTTATTAGTTGAGATTCAATTGGTACACTAAGGCCCAGTTTTTAAAAAAGCTGACGTCGGATTATAAAAGGAAATTTAATGTTCTACAAAAAAGGTCTCTTAACATTTTTGCCTAAATTTAATTCTTCAAAAGTTATTCACGAAGAAAAAAATAAAATTTTAAGTTTTTCTTCGATTTTAATCGTGAATAACTTTTGAAGAATTAAATTTAGGCAAAAATGTTAAGAGACTGTTTTTGTAGAACATTAAATTTCCTTTAAGAATCCGACGTGAGCTTTTTTAAATATTCATTGATTCATTAGTTACAAAATTTCAAAGTAAAAAGGGCAAATCGAAAAAACACATCGATTTATTAAGCTCAATTACTCGGAAACGGCTCGTCTGACGAAAATTTTCAATCAGACCTTTTTTGTAGAGAATTTAATTTTATATAAAAATAAGTGAAAAGGAATTTTTTTCACTTTAATGTTTTGACAGTTCTAACGTAAAACATCAAATTATGACAATTGACAAATATGCTAAATAAAGATTTTTTTCCACCCGGTGTACGTTTAATGGCGGTACTCCCGGTGTACTTCTAGTCACTTTGATTTAAAAAACTATAAATTACTCACCTAACAAAATCAAACATAACGTTTGCCTTGGGCAACAAATATTTGTCGTCCTGTTTGAACCACACGCGACTCAATGCCGAGTCTTGTATGATTAGGGGGTGTTCGGGAACCTAAAAAATTAAATTGTAAGTGTTCATATTTTTTCAAATCAAATTTATTATTTTTCTCACGTCTTTTTCAAGTGGGTACAAATCAAAATCTGTCGGTATAAATTCGTTTTTATCCGGTATTCTGAGTTCGTTGCACAAGCCAGCTTTTTCCCAGTCCTTAAAATTAAGAGTGTTTTGGAATATGTTAAATTGTTTTCTACTCCTATTGCATATTATTGACATTATTTGTTTTTTTCTTAAATAATGTTAACCAATATAACCGCTCATTACTCATTACTCATTATGCATCAGTGATTGGCTGATTTCAATATTCACTGTTATTTGAACCAATCGGATTTTACATTGGGAAAAAGTAAGGTTAACAGATGTCAGATTTGTTTATTTATACGAGGGGCGACTATGATGATCTTTAAAATCGGGAAAAAGTGAGGTTATAATAAATTTTGTTATCAATGAAAATTACTTAATTGTAGTAAAAAAAAAGCATAGTATTACACTCGAAATAATGCGAATTATTTACTCGGATGAATTACGTCTCTCGCCTAGCGGATGGACACATCCTTGTGAATAATAGCCTGCATTATCTCTTGTATAAATATATTGTTATATTATAATCGTGTTACTATATATTATTCAACGTATGATTTTATTTAAGAGTTTTATAAAAATATATTTTAAAAATTATTTCCGTTTTTTAAGAATTATATTTTTTTGATAATATTATTTTTTAATGAATTCGTTTAGTGTGTTTTAATGCATTTTTGGAAAAAATACAAAGTATTATTTAAAATCCCTTATTTTATTTATTTCATTTCATTTATTTTTGTATTATTTTATGCACAATCCAAACAACAAGGTCTGTACTAAAAATACTAAAAATCACTGGAACATTGCACAGAGTTTAACGGCGGCCATTTTTGTTCTTTAATAACCCAAGTAGCATTTTAAGTTTAAATAACTACAAATTTACTACTACTACTTTAAAGTATTTTTACGGTTAACCAAAACGGTCTTATCCGAAAAATTACCAAATTTGAGGAATTGTTTATTTCGTTATTTTACATGCATAATAACCTTTTTGATCTACTTAGAGAATAACGTAATAAAAACAATATAAATACCACAAATTTAAGTAAAAATAACGCTATAATTACTAACTGTTTGCTCTCTCTTTCTAAAACATTGACATTCGTAATTTCTTTGTTCTTTTAATTTATATTTTACAAAATGGTACTTACAAAGTATTAAAGGCCACCCTAGAGTAAAATTAAAAAATATAACTTAAATTGTCAAAACTAATAATATTTTGCATTAAATCTCAAACGCACATTATTTTATTGATAAAAATAGACATGATATATCTTAAAAAATATATGCCCTCTAAATATTTTACGGTTTTAAGAAAAATTATTGCTTGGGTAAAAATTCAACAAAACTTAAAACCTACAAAATTTTATAAAATCTTTTAAAAATCATTTAGTTTAAATCATTTTTTAATAACTAAAACTTTCCTTATTATATTTTAGAAAAATATGTATGAAAAAATATTATATAAATGTTTAGATAAGTAATGGATGCCATCTTAAAAAACTCATTATGGCGATCTGAAAAAAAATTCCCTTTTAGCTTATTTTTCCTTGTTTAGTCAATATTAATAGTATTTATTGCCACTAATATCACTAAAAAATACCAGGCGAATAGGAATTATTTACGATTATAAAGTGGTCTTTATATCGTAAAATTATGACTTATGAGTAACATTTGCCATTAAGTAAAAACTGTGACGTTAAAATTACCGTTAAATTTTCCTTTAGGTGAAATACAAAATATAAGTATTTCTCTTTCGTAAAAATTACTTCCCTCATAATACTTTAAAGTTTTGAAACTTAAGGGTTATTAAAATAGGTAAAAATAACATAAATAAAACTTATTAAATAGGTAACTTTAAAAAAATATTTACTTCAAAGTAAATTTTTAAGGTTAATTTAACAAAATATTTACTTAAATTAAGAAATATTGCCTCAAAGCTCTACGCTTTTACTTAAAATGCTACTTGGGAATCGTTTTAAACGTTGTTTCTTACAATTATTAATACAAACCCAAAGCACAAGAATTGTAAAAAAACAAAATAAACATATTAATTATTAACCCTCTGTTAAAAGCTACAATGAAAGTTTTAAATAGATCTAGGATAAAAGTCAACTTAAATTTAACCTTAAATTTAAATTGCTCGAGCTTTAAGTTAACTTGTTCCCAGTCCGCAAGAGGCGCTGTTTAAGCCATAGGGTTTGAAGTGGAATTTGTAAGAGGGTTAAGGGCCTAAATCTAGGGTTAAGGGAGAGTCTAAATATAGTTTTTTTTTTAATTTTCCTTCATGATGTTTAAAAAAATTACACTGGATCAATGCTGTCAACATTTTAATTCCTTACAAATTTTGTAGAAAAAAACGTTTGTAAATTCATTATTTAGACAATACGCTAAAGAAGTATCGGGTTCTCGCAACTTCGATAGCATTGCGTGAATTTAAGAATTGTCAACAATACATTTAAAGTACAGATTATACATCATTTTTAAATAAATAAAAAGGGGTAGGCAGAAGTCTTACTCGACAAATTTTGTTCAATTACACAGCTAAATCGCGCACCTTATTTGTGTTTTACGTTGCAAGGAAAAAATTAAAAAACTTTTTTAGTACTCGATTTCGATTGATTATTTCTTATATCATTGATTAAGAAACTCAACGCTTAAATGCTTATATAGTTACGTTAGTGTGTGTATTTTATCTAAGGGATCTTGGTGAATTATTGTGTTTTTAATTGTAAATAAAATTCAAGAACTAAATCGTTGCATTTTCATGTTTTGCCAAAGAATCCAATTCGGTAAGTACATTTGTTGGTGCAGAATTAACTAATGATAACTTTACCTAATATAATTTATATTTAAGTTTGGACATTTTTAAGAAATTAGTAAAAAATAATTTTTGCACAAACATAACCTTAAAATCAACCATTTTTATATTTGAGTTCTCTAAAAAACGCCGACAACTTTATTTTAAACAACAATATATACCTACGAATTGATGGCAACATAATATTATATATAATACATAATATTATATGATATTTTACCGTTGAGTGGAGACTTTCTTAATCAACGCTTTTAATAATGCTAAATGCTGTTTAAATTTAGACGACTTATTTGTTTGACGATTTTTACTGAATTAAAATGTTTAACCTTTTCACGTTAATCACTACTAAAATGTGTATTTATTGTATCTAATAGGTACAATTTATATTAACAGAGACTGTATGCAATTTCAGATTAACACTGTTTATTGGAAAACCGGTAAAAACTCAACCCAGGATTTCCTATACACCCAACAACACAACAAATCGAGTCACGGTTTTTTTTCCAGATATTTTTAACATTTTCCGGCTTTATTTTCAAATACACTCGTTTGTAACACACGCGTTTGACAGCTGAGTATCAAAAATTGTACTTTTGTTACGATGATAACTGCCGAGTGGTGGCGCTACTAGCGATACTTCTTTACCTATTAAAGTTGTTTTACAAAAGCTATCTACAAAATTGGTTGTGCATTTGGCTTTTAATTGCTTAGATAAAAGTTTTTTACAAAATCTTTCTACAAAATTGGTCTAGAGGTCAATTAAAAAGTTTTATTCAATACTTAAATGCATGAAATGCAGGTTATCTTTTTGTTGCAAGTACTTTATTTTCCAATGATCTTTTATAATACCATTATTAGTTTTTTTTATACAGGGCGGAACAAAATAAATGTAATACTTAAATGTTTTATAGTTTTACTTACAATAATTATTACAAGTTTTGCTACCCTCATGCATCCAAATATCATTGTTAAAATTTTGAGTCCATATAACTATTATCCAGAAATTCATGGTCTTGAATCCAAGTATTTACTTTATCGAATGATGGTACTTCTGGTAAAATATCATTTTTGATTTCATGCTCATCGTCCTCTGTCCATATTGATAAAAAATCTTTTGCCAATTCTCCATATGTATCATTATACATGGCCCCAAAATGTTTTATAAAACTTTGACTGTAGTCTTTATTTGCAAACATTTTTGGTTTATATTTTAGTCTGTTGTTTAATGCACTTTTAATATGGCTAACATTTTCTATACTACTAGCCATTAAGATTGGGGTTGGCCTGGGAGGTAAACTTTTTAGCCAATCAATCATAATATGAACTGAATTTTCCGATTCCAATTCGTTTTTAAATATATCTTGCTTAAAAATCTCTCCAAAACTATTGCAATAAAAGAGACATTTTTTTCCACCTTCACTTACATACTTCATACCACCAATAGAAAAATCCAGTCTTTCTTTAATATTATGAGGCAAGCAATCTTCTTTTAAAAAACATTTATTCATAGTTTGTCCCAAGTTTGGAAAGGGTAATGGAAGATTTGATGAAGACAAAAATAAAGTTTTTGAATTCTCCTTTTGACTTCCCAATATAACATCTTGATGTTCCGGTGTAATTTGCATGTAACATGGGGCTGAACTGAGTAAATGTGTAAAATGTGAAACATTATTTAAATTACGAATATCTGCCTTTAAAAGATAATGCCTAGAGCTAATAAAAATATGTTCATTGACAATTTGAAAATTACACAATTGATTACATTTTTGCAAGTTCAAATTAATAACGGATTTTTTAGATGTTCTTTGATCCACCACATGAATATCTTCATTCGTCATTATGTACACCATATCATTATTTACAAATTTAAATTGGCCAAAATTGAATTTTTCTTGTAAATTTATAGTTCTTAAACATTTATTTAATTCTAAATCCTTTATTATTAACCTTGAATCAGCAGTTAAAACACCCAACTGTTTAAAAGGTGACATATTCGCATCAAATATTGGAAGTTTGGTATTGTGGACTATTTTAATGTTAGTTTCGTTAATATTACTTAATTCCATCAGTTCTATTTTTTCTTTTTGCCTCAGTAAAATAAAGTTTTTAGAGTCAAATAATTGCCCAGAAATATTAAATATTGGGCCTGTTGCCACAAACGGTAGAGGTATTGTGTTAAGAGGTTCATCCAAAGAATTCAGCAATAGTTGATTCATACAATTAGGTCTTATCAAAAAACTTTTACCATGAAACTTTATATGTTCGAGAAACCCATTGGTATAGTATTGATTATAATCGGAATCAAAGAATGGATCAGGATCTGGCATTTCATAAAATTTTAATAGAAATTTAGGCAATGATAAATATTTACTTCTTAAAAAACTGTTTTGATTAATGTCTGCCTTACACAGTTTATATTCTTCTTTCGATTTATTTTTTGTTTCTTCATAACACTTCTTTTCTTTTAACAGTTGTAATAAAACATCACATGGAGGTTTTATAAATGGTTTATGAAAAGGGGCTGGTAAGTCCATCAGTATTCCATCATGTTTATTGTATTTGCTGGCAAGCATTTGTTCGCTGTTAAAATCGACAAGTAAATTATGGGGCTCATTATTTACTGTATCTTTGTATAAACTTTTCTTATAAAACATGTTATTTAACTTCACAACACTTGTATTAATTTTAAACCTGGTAATTTATTTTACTATTGGTTCACTTTAAATTATTCGACACATATAAGACAAATAATTGGGTAATAAACGTTTTTAAATCATTAACATAGAATATAACCTCAAAACTATTGAAAAATAACCATGTGTCACACTGTTGCCAGATTTCGAAATTGTTTTTATATCTGTGAAATTTAAAAAGTTCGTTATTTTAGAAAATATTGTTTATACGTTATGGTATGGGTAAACCTTTGGCAAGATGGAACACGGTTTTAGCAGAAAGCCTGAATGAATTAAATAAATACCATTTTATTATTATTTAAAGATATTTAAGGCAATAATTTATTTTATCTATCAAAAGTATTTTATAACAATAACTTTTGTTATAAAAAAAATAAATTAAAAAAATTTGCCAGGATAAAGAAATTAACTTACTTGTAAAGTTTCCTTAGGAATGTCAATTTTCTTGTACTTGGTCCCATACCATGGCTCAGTTTCGTTGAGGTCCTTTTCGAATTTTTTCGCTATAACAGCCAATCTGAAAAAATATTCACTGCACTTCTCCATTTTTTAGTTTTGTAACAGTTACATCATTTTCGGTATTTAGTTCTGGTTTAACTTAACTTAACTTAAGTAAATTATCACAATTTGTAACTGGATACAGATACATATTTTATTGCACATACAAAAGTTCATTTTTTGTTTTTTTTATTTTTATTTATTTTAAAATTTCAAAAAAAGTTGATCTGCTAGCTGAAAATAATGTGTAATTTAAAATTTGTAAAACCAAAAACGTTACATTTTTACTCCAAAAAGGCGATGTACTTTTTCTGCCATTTTGCATAACTTCATCAAATGAAGTTTTGCGCTTAAAAGTTCTTTTACTTTAGAATCTGATATTATTTTTGGCATAGTTATCTTTTTATATCGATATTATATAATAATTAGCAAGTAAATTATCAATAATAAATATTACTATCAATTTAACAGTTTCAAAGTATTTAATTAAGGTCAGCGTACAATTTTTTAAATACTAAAAATTTTAAATCAAACTGGCATAAGCTACCAACTTAATAAAATCCAAATAAAAAAAAAATGAACTGTAGTTGTTTAATTTTTACTATAAAACATTGGCGTCCTTTTTTAAAAGGATAGTAAACACAGTCGGACAAAAGATTTTTAAAAGTTTTAAGTTTGAAAAATATTTAACATAACCTAGAAACCACGGTCTTGTATGTAATTCTTGACACATCTGTTTTATATCATCGTGTAGTCACGCGCATGTCTCAACATTTAGAATTGTTTAAAATACGCAAAAACTATCCAAAATGATCCAAACTATAAAATAGCAAAAAAATATGTTTGCATAAAATAAAAAAGCGCATTACCATTTTAAATCTTCAATATTTGAGATAGGGTTTTTAAATTTCCGGAAAAATTGAGCCGGCGAAAAAAAAACGGACAAATTGTGAAATTTTCAGAAAAATTTAATTTTGCATTTCATTCCATCCATGGGTAATATAAAAAATGCAAAAGTCAATTTTTCTAATTACAGAAAAAGTGAATTTCCTAGGCTGAATATAATCATTATATTATGATTTATTTTAATTCAATTAAAATTTTCTACCGGGTCGCAAAAAAACATATTCGGTGCTGTATTAACATAATTTTCGTTTTATTTGACACTTCGATTATAAATTTATAATTTTGTAATTTAATTAAATTTAAAGTTAACTTTATAAATAATTTATTATTTTGTAATTGGGTATTTTCACTTTTTGCAAAAAATACCCAACCGACAGTATATTTTAACGTTTACGTTTATTTTCCTAAATGAATTAAATTTAATTCAATGTTAAGTTTTTTTTTTAATTAAAATAATGTTAATTTCTTATTTGCCACTTTTTTTAAATGTGTATATTTCCCTAAAAAAAATAATATTTCCAAAAAAAACACCAATTTTTTCTGGGAAAAACGGAAAAAACAGGTTATCTGAGACCAATGTTTTTTAACCCGTCATATAAGTGAAAAAAATATTTTTTAATTTAATATTTACCTGACTTTTTCTGGGGAAAATTCGCTCCAAACTTTTTTAATCAGGTCTGGGTTCCATTGGTTGAAAAAATAATGAGCTGACAGAACATCTTCTATGGGATACTCCTGTAAACTATGCACTAATCCCGAAATGTATCCCCTCGGGGATTCCTTATCCTTAAACCTAAACGACATCTGCCCAATGTCCCTGTTTTCGTCCTGTATCCATTGCAGGGGTCCTTCTTTTTTAAGCATATTCAAATACTACAAAAGTGGAATATAAAAACAACCAAACACTGCAGCGTTCTCAAAAATTGTTTCAATGGTTTTAACAACTCATAAATACCTGGAAAATTAGTTTTACGATATCGTCTACGTGGTTTATGCCTTCTTCGGTTAGATCGACGGCTATACCGAAAAAACCGAGTCCTCTAGGGGCCGGTCGGTTACCTGCTACCAAATTGTTCGACCAACCACGAGATTTTAACACAGATAATATGCTACCGGGTCCTTCATGGCCCATTAAATGACTAATATAATGACCAGGCTAAAAAAAAACAATAAAAATATTAGAGAAGGAGATAATAAGCAGATGCTTATAAACAACTACAGTATTATCACAAATTGGGTTGCAAAGAGGAAATTACAATTATTTTACATGTCAGAAAATATCATTATTGATAAATTCCCAGAATATGGGCACATCATTTTTAATGTCTATAATTATTTTGCAATTTTGATTTTTCTGAAAATTTTGGACTAAAAAAAACATTATTTTGTTGGAAAGAAGATCAGAAATGAACAAAAAGCAAAATTTTAAGAATAAATAAAATATCAAAATAACCATAACAATAAAGATGTGTTGCACATTACATAGGTTTGAAATGAAGAAAATACTTTTTCTGAGAAATATGCCCTATACCAAATTTTATTGAAAAAAATATGTGCATTTTTAATTTAAAATTAAAAATGCACAATAATTGCTATTTAAAAAAAATTATTCTGTCAAGTTATCCATGAAAAAACATAAAATTAAAATAGTATAAATATTCTTATACTTAGTTTTAACAAATAAAAAACGCAATAGAAACTTAAACCAACAATGAAACAAAAAATAGAGAAATCGCCAATATAAATTCTTAAAAATTTACTCTCAAAAACTGACATAGTACCTCTTGTATTTTGTAAAAACAAGGTCCAAAAATACAGTTTATCAAAATCTACACTTTAAATAAATAAAGATTTTACAGGGGTGAGTCGCAAACAAATGGTTCACACTGTATGTTGTACTTGCATTTAAATAATGCTAGCTCTGTTTGTCTGTCTTAAAAAAATATGGAATAAAAACAGGTGCGGAGAACAAAAAAACACAATCAAATTTTGGTCAATATAAAGTGCTTCATTTTTCAGTCACACTGTATTAATTAAAGATTAGGGCAAACAAAAATTATGTGCAAAGGGAGAAATTTAAAATAGAAAGTAAATACAGGGTGGTATGTAATTAATGTAATATATTAAAATGGGAAGTTCCTTAGGGTTCATAAAGAAGCACCTGAAACTTTTTTTTCTTTCTAAATTTTAAAGACTAAAAATAATTTATAATAACCTTTACCAAAAAATACTCCACTGATCGACTAGCAACTTAAGGCTTTATTATGTTATGGTTGGTAACAACCAGCGTTTCCAGATTCTGCCAAATTTTGTTTAAATTTCGCCTAATTACAAAAATGACAAAATCAACAATGCAAATTGTTCATTTGGGGTTTTTATTAATTGTTTATTATGGCATTTTTGTAATATTAATGAAGGTAAATTCAAACAAAATCTGGCAACTTTTATGACATAATCTAGTGCATTTCTTTCAAATTATTATTATGTTCTCAAATTGTAAATATCTTAACTAAGGGAAGTGCTTTTGGATTTATTTACACAAATTGAATGTTTAAAGTTTAACCTGGAGTTTTTAAAATAGGTACTAAATTTTCTAATCATTGCTTAAGCTAATAGCTGGATAAGTAAATAAATACAGAAGGGTATTAGAGCTTAAAGGGCATAAAACTTTTGTTTTTATTGAGGTTTTATTTATTTTTTGCCAGAAAAATGTTTAGTTACAATTTTTTTCAACTGGGAACGCGCAGCTACTTTGTTGGTTGGTATCTATGTACTCACAGAACACGAGTATGTAATCAGTGGCGTATCACAAAAAATATAAAAAACTTCTAATGCATATTTTGTTTTTATTTTTGAGAAAATATTTTTTTAAATATTTTTACGTTACACCTTATGTCAAAAGGTATTCTGTATTTTAATATATTTAATTAATTACATAACACCCTGTATATATTAATTAAACAAAACCGTTTTATGTATTTATCTACTTAAAACAGCACAATTTGATATTCTTAAAACTTATTTAAAGTCTGGCAACCCTGCAAAACCACTGTAGACACCTTGCTGTGAAGTTATGCACGATACAACGATTTGAAGTTATCCACGGACCAATAACAGAGAAGAAGAAGAATAACCCAACTTTTAAAGTCCCGGTTTATTTTGATATGGATTTTACAGACAATTACGAACATTCCACGCCGAATTTAATATATTTTCCGACCAGCGTGCCAACGAAACAAATAGAAATGGTAAACGACTTAAATTTAGAGGGTTGCACGTGCGACATTCAATGCAATGAAGAAAACTGCGAATGCATTCAACGAAGTGGTACTTTTTACGAATTTAGTGATAGAGGGGATATAAAAACGTATAAATTAAGGGAGAAGGAGTTTTATAAGCCTAGTTATGAATGCAATAAGAATTGCAAGTGTTCGGAAAGTTGCGGTAATAAACTCATTCAATATGGACCCAATGAAAATCTGGTAATAAAAGAATGTGATATAAAGAAGGGTAAAGGTTTATATGCTGCTAAAGACATTGAAAGTGGTGATTTTATATGTGAATATGCAGGCGAAATAATTAACAAAGATGAATACAAGAAAAGATGGGACTCCTATAAAGTTAAACTAAAAATGAACTATATTTTCTGTATTAATGAACATTTTGGAGAAAAAAATATAAAAACCTTTATAGATCCCACATATTACGGGAATATAGGCAGGTATATAAACCATAGTTGCCAACCAAATTGCCAAACTTACCCTTTTAGAATAGACACGACAATACCAAGTTTATACATATTTGCTGTGGAGAAAATCAACAAAAACACTGAAATAACATTTAAATATGGAGATTTAATACAAAATAACACCACCAATTTGAGCAAATGTTATTGTAGCAACAATTGCCCAAATTATTTACCCTTTGATAATACAATAACCTAAAAACACTCACCGCAGATTTGTAGTATGATGTGAGATCTTCACAGGGGAAAACAATGTTTAGATTACGAACATCCTTCACTGGAGTTGTGTAAACTAAGGTGCGAAAATTTTCTTCGCCAAATGGGTGATCTTCCCACTTGGGGGCTGTTACGTTTTTGTTTTCCACTGTGGAAAACAGATTTACCACCATTTCTTCCAGTTCGTCAAGACTTTCTGTGTTAAGTTAATAAAAAGTTTAAATTGTTATTTTTTTTTGTTTCAATATTCCTACCTTTCCCCAAAACAGCCAAACACATAATGTTGGAAGAATACCAATGAGCATGAAATTTCAACAACTCATCTCTCACATTTACACCATTCGCTTTCGTAAGGGTTTCCAGAGTGTATTTATTACCGGTCCCGAAGGTATTAAAGGGGTGATCTTTCTTAGACAAATGCTTATCCAACTGATCCATCCTCCAAACATCGTTTGGTACGTTTTTTTCGTGTTCGGAATTAACAGCGTTAATTTCCCTTTCTGTAGCACTCTCAGTGAATAGGGGTGCAATGAAAAATTGAGAAAATCTGTCCAAAGCCTTGTTCAATTCATCAGGTACAATATCAAAGTAGTACAAAGTATGATCGGGATATGTGGCGGCATTACTGCTACCTCCATGTTCACTCAAAAATTTGTTGTAATCGTTCTCGTTTGGGTATTTTTCGGTGCCCAAGAATAGCATATGCTCACAGAAATGTGCCAGTCCGTATATACCTTTAGGATCGCTTAAATAACCTGTAATGTTTTGTAAGTGATTTTAGTAATAAAATGGGGTTGTTTTTACTCACCAACATTCACGTCCATAGCAGCAGCGGATTTATCGGTATTGGGGTCACTTACAAGCAAAATTTTCATGTTGTTTGCAAGTTCCAACCCTCTATAACTCCTCTTGTCCTCCTGGGACTTGGTAATGTGGTCTGTACGTTTCAAAACCAACTTCTCCATGCTTGCTATCGGTTTTCTCGATGTGCCAAGAGTACTGCGGAAGAAATAACGTTTAATTCCTCGTAACCCCAATTCTAACCTCACTTTTACCCAATGAGACAAACACTCGATTTTATGTGATTGCTTGTAATAATCCTTACAAGTAACCGCGGGTTTCGTATTTGCTGCATTCAGGATTGGTTGTTGGTTTTTGTTGGAAGTTGTTACGTGAAATATTTGAGTGAAAAAATGGAAATTTTTGATGACATTTCCGTCTATGTCATACCTATTTTGAAGGATTACGATTTTAATTATGATAATTGGTTATTTTTAGGGAAAGCAAACGACTTTGGCGGACAATTTCGGTTTACGTGGGTTTATTTCAAAGAAAAAGATTACCACAGAAAAAGAAATTTTTTTTACCCACAATCATAGATAACAATTAAATCCATTTTGAGTTTGTGTCTTTACATATTTTGTGGTTTTGACTGTATAATTTAAACGGTAAAAATTAATTATTTTTACCCTGCGGTCTATAAAAGTTGAGCCATTTTTTAAACATTTTTTTATAGCCTACTCTTGGGCATAAAAAAGTCTAAAAAATGTCAAGACGTATTTTAAAATGTCAAAAACACAATTTAGTGTCAAAAACACATTTCAAAACACCAAAACAAAAGAATTGATATCATTTTAGTTTGTTATCTATGCATTTGAATATGTAGAAAACCAAAAAACAAAAATAATTTTAAAATTGTTCAAAATTAAGTGCTTTGGTCGTGAGTCAGGGGGGCAATTGCACCCATTGCCCCCCTCATGTATCTGCGCCTGCGTGGAACAGACTTATTTGGAAGAATGTCAAAATATATTTTAAAATGACAAACATTATTAGTAATTAAGAAAATTACAAAAACGCGATTTTGAATGTAAAAAAAATTAAATTAGGTAGTTAAAAATGTAAAAAAACGTAATTTAATTATGGTATAATCTAAAAAAAAGTTTCGCCCGAGCAGGGACTTGAACCCTGGACCCTTGGATTAAAAGTCCAATGCTCTACCGACTGAGCTACCCGGGCTTATGAATTTTATAATAACAAACCTTTATTAAAACTAAACTGGAACTTGGAGTATTATTATGAAATCTTAATTTTGATATTATATTAAAAAATTTAAAAATAACTTAAATTTAATCAAGTTCTAATAAGTAAACGATGTAAAAATAATTTAAAATCGAAAAAAAAGTAAAATAAATTGAAGGTCCCACCGAGATTTGAACTCGGATCGCTGGATTCAGAGTCCAGAGTGCTAACCATTACACCATGGGACCGGTTGATTGTTGTGTAAAATATTCAGCAAATAAACGCAAATTATCTTTATATCGATTTTAAGGGAAATCGATAAATTCCACATAGAAACCAATTAAGTGATAACGTATAATTACGTTAGATTCCCATGTTTTGTACTGAAATAATGAAATTTAGCCTAATAACATCATAAACCTTTAAGCAGGTAAAGCAGAAATCTGTTACGACAGATATATTAATAAGGTTATGTGTTACGAAAAATAATAATCGTGTGACAGTTCAATCTGCGAGGAAAGTGTTAAGTAATCACCGAAATGGATTAAATTCGGCGAGTTTTCATTAACGCACCATGTAAAAACCAATTAAATTCGGTTTTCCGACTGTGTGTTACATAAAATCTCCGTTTCGACCTTCCGTGCAAAAACGCACGTAGTACGTAACAATTTTCTGGAACATGCCGCGCTTCTATGAAACTTCGACCGTTTTTAATTACTCTTGGGATCAAGTGGCCCAAGGGTTTTGGAAGAGGTACCCTAATCCAAACAGGTGTGTATTGTTTTTGTTTTTTTTTGTATTAAAATAATTTTTGTGTCGTTCTTTTAGTAAACACGTTTTGACTGAAGATACAGTACATAGAGAGATTCGGTGCGGACAATTATTCACAAAAAGACTTTTAAGCAAAACTAACTCCATTCCGAAGTGGGCAGAGAGGTTTTACACTGCAAAACATGTAAATATTGTGGAAGAATCCATTGTTGATCCTAAGAACAAAGTACTTATTACTTACACAAGAAACCTTGGGTATGCTAAAGTAATGGTGAGTATTTGTAAACATGTTTATGCTAATTAACCAAACAGGTTTTGCTTAAAAAGTTAAATGAGTTTATGTAGTTACTTACTAGTGAACAAAATATTTGGCTTTATTTATTATTGTTTTATTTTAATCAATTATTTAAAGTATTTTGGCCTATATTGATCAAATTGATGCTATTCTTAAATATTATGAAACTGCATATTATAAAAATAATCTCACTACAATTGATAATTATTTATTTTTTATTTTTAGAGTGTCACTGAGAAGGTTGTATACAAAGAAAGTGAAGAGCATCCAGGAAAAACTGTGGCATTAAGATCTGCTTGGATTGATTCGCAAGTTAAAGGTTTTAGCCGAGCGATTTGTGCTTTTGGTTATGAGAGATTTAAGAAGAACTGTCACAAAATGGTAAGTTTTAATTTAGTTCTTTTTTGAAGTTGTGTTGTCTTTTGCCAAATTAAAATTTAAAAACCAGTTTTATTTTTTGCATAAATATCGATAAATATTTATCACTTACAAATTATTTTAAGTGGAATAATAAATATTTCTTTGTTTACAAATTTTTTTTTTGTGAAAAATATATTTTTGGGTTTATTGAAATAAATAAAATAGAGTAGGTACACAAATGTTAGACCCTTTCCTAAACATGTGACATACTTATGAGGCCCCATACACAAAAAAACTTTCTTTTTTATTATTTTAAAACCAAACAGTTTTTTTACTTTGTGTTTTTTATATATCTAAATGAAGAATAATAAGCCAACTTTGTAAAACAATATGTAATTTTAGACCGATTTTTATAATATTACTTTAATTTATTTTATAAAACTGGTACCTAAACTTGTAAAGAAGTTTTGTCATCCTAAATTGTCAAACAAAATGTGGAATACCTAGTAACTTTTTAATAAAAAAGTTTATTATCCAAAATTGTTTAAAAACAAAATGTTAAATAGTAACTTTTTAATAAAACAGTATAATGAATTTAATGTGGGCAAAATTTTATGTTTTATTAATTTGTACAGTTTTTTATAACAATATTTGTCGTAGAAAAAATATAAAATGCTCATTTTTATTAAACACTCGCTCGCAAGCTTCGCTCGTGCCTATTTAGAAATTCTGACTTTTATCATATTTGATACATAAAACCAATTTTCATAAAACGTCAAATAGTAACTATTTATGATAAAAAATTTCGTATTTTATTAATTTTGTAACGAACGGGGGCAAGGGGGGACATTTAAATAATTAAAAAAATGAATATTAAAACTACCTTTGGCCGAAACACGTGATTGTCTAGTTTAAAGAAATTAAATTAGGACCCCTTTTTGTTGTGAATACGGTTCTGGATACGTAAGTACTTGAGCAATTGTGTTTATATATTTAAATGCAAAAAAAAGTATTAAATTAAAATGAGTTTACTAATAAAAACAATTTATACAAAAGTTAATATTATTGCTACTGTACATTAATAATATAAGTAAAAACATTTAAATTTTAAAAGTATTATAGATTTAAGTTAATAAGGATAAACCTTAAAAACCCACATATACAATCCAGACATGCATATCGCACATCTAAACAATATAAATAATATAACAAAATCAAAGTAATCAAGTATAATGTCATCAATCATATTATCATATTCGTCACCCTAATATAACAAGGTTGTATGTTAAAAAACCAAAAAAATTCAGTTTATGCTTCTACAAGGTTTTATGTAATCCTCCCTTGACATACAACTTGAAAATAACTATATATATATATGTATACATATAATATACATTCTATAGAATTATTTTTAAGTGTTATGTGAAGCGTAGGCCACGTATAATCCTGTAGAAACATAGACTTAAATTTTTCGTTTTTTTTAACATACAACCTTGTTATATTAGGGTGACGTATTGCTAAGAATATTCACCTACATAAAAGGTAGGCTCGGACGGTGTATAAAGCAAATACCAATTGAAACTATTATCAATGTACAGCAACAAACAAAAAAAACAATCGATATGTTCATACTTCATAGCTAAATTGGCCAACAACAATAAAAACATATTTTGTTAATAAATTAAGGGGCTAAGACTCAGCGCACATCATAGTGTCTACTAGTGTCTACTCCCTTAGTAGGTCCCCAAAGATCGATTAACAAATTTAAATAAATAGCAAGATCGCGCAACACACAACGAAATAAATGTATTTTACATCCTAGGACCAACCATACATGTTCAGGGTTGACAACAAAGTCTCAACATATTAAATAAAGAATATCAATCAATTTATCAAATAAACAAAATAATGTAAACTGTACAAAACAAAGTAAGTAAAAGTTAAATAGAAATATGTAATAACATGATACATTGCATTATAATATATTAATAAACTATGTCAAAGTAAAATGTAAATATTAAAAATGGTAAATATAAAATAATAATTATAATAAAGGCGTAATTACGTTTGTCCAACCACAACTCAAAATATAAAACGTTTAGTTTGTTTCTTTTCTTACAAAGAAAAGATAAATAAAAAATAAAAAAATATACTTTAAATTAAATATTAATGAATTAACCACTTATTATGATATTTGTGACTTTAAATTATTATAATTAATTATAGAAAAACATACCTAGATAACTAAACCACACTTTCACAAAAACTGAAGTTCTATAAAAATCAATGGATAAATTAAATAATTACTCTCTTCAAATAACAAAACCCAACTGATACAAAATTAAAGAATTATACTAATCCCTTGAAATAGCAACACGTAACTGTTTATCCCTGTAACTGTCCCTTTTTTCCTTTTTTCTATAACTAATTTTTCCTCCCTCCTTAAAATTGGTTTATTTTTTTAAGTCAAAACAAGGTCTATCGATATAGTTCATTTGGAGCATAAGAACCTAATATCTGCACCGATACGGTTCAGACATACGTGCGGTTTTGGTATGTCTCCCTAGTGCATCATGGAATTCTGAAAAACATCAACCCGTAGGTCTACCATTAGCCCTCCTTTTTCTTATTTTCAAATATACTTCCAAGTAAATCAAAATATACACTAATTTATTACGTGTTGGTTAGGTTAAATATGGCCCTAATAAATTACATAATATAAACAGAGTGAGTCCAAATATTAAGTTACTAATGCACACTTGATACAGTTTTAAGTTAAATATTTAGAACCAGTCTCATATTTCGTAAAGCATTTATTTATTTATTTTATTTATTAATTTATTTATTTATTTTACACTATAGCTAGCAAAACAGTTCTTCAGAATTGGTACCGCTAAGTCTATGTTAATTTGAATTAATTCTTCCATTCTTCTATTCCATTATTTAAATTAGCATTTATAACTTTCCATTCTAAAAAACTTTACTTCCAAATATCTTCATTTTATTTTTTTAAACCATAAATTTTGATTAATATTAAAATAATAAATTAAGAAATGTTAAAAATTAACTGCCCCATATATCGTTCCCATTACAATTTAGACAGTTTAAAAATAAGTTTAATTATAATGCAGTTTTTAATTTTATTATTTTCCAATGGTTCCAATGCTTTATTTTGATTAAAACAAAGGTTTAAATTAAAAAAATTGTTTTTTATGAACCTAAAATTAATTAAAATCAATTAAACAAATAAACATTTGTATAATTTGTATAAACGAACATAAAAATAGTTAATATAAAAAATGTGTTGATAAAAATAATAATTTTCAACTTTCTAATGATTATTAACGTTAAAATTCTAATTATGCTGTACCGTTTAAAATATCTATTAAACAAATACAGAATATTATATTATTATAATAATATGTATATTATTAATATATAATAATATAATTTATCTACTCCAATAAGTAGATAGGTAATTAAATGATTTTTAAAAATAAATAAATAAAATCTGACATCTGTCAAATGGTTAATAAAGAGTTCATTATTCACGTTGTTAGGCAGGGAATTTATAATGTTGTTTAAACCAAATAGGTTTATTACAATCTTATTTTTTAAATATTAATTTAACATATTATTGCAGCGCCCTCTATTGGAAAAGTCGGTAAATTTCAACTGTACCATAGTGTAGGGAGAAAAAGAATTTAAAGCCAAATTTACTTGTTAAACATTTGACATCTCTCAACTGTCACCCGGATTTAACCTTACTTTTTCTCAATTTATAATAAAGCTTCAATAGGTTGAGTTCGATTTTGTCCTCGGTGAGAAGCGCATCGCTCCTGCATTGCTCCATGAAAAAGTATGAAAAATAGTTGACTTTGACTCAGGGAAGACAGAATCGGATTCCAGTGCTAGATAATAGCTTTGTTCGCGGAGCTCATCCGTGATCAATCCGCGACAACTGCGCATGCGCACTGGCAATTTTAGCGTTCGCGGTGTAAAAATCGGCAACATTTGACATTTGATCACTCGTTCGCGGAGCCTTCGGGACCAGTTTCGAACTAATTACTGACAAGTCAAAACGATCCGAGGATTTTAGCATGTACTAGCTGTCAGACATGCGTATTGTTCATTATTGTTTAAAGTTTATTTTAGGTTATATGTTCTATATTGTTTTTAATTAAATTGTTTAACGAAAACGTAAGTTGAAATACTTATTTTTTACTTGCATTGTTCATTTCCTTGCTTATTTTATAGATGAGTGATCATCTATCATCCAGTGATGAAGATTTAGAAAATAGTTTAGATTTAATTGAAGTTCCTAAAAATACTGCATATTTTGAAGAAATTGTTCCCATGTTCGATGATCAGCTATTTAGGGAGCATTTTCGAGTTAGCAAAGAGATTGTTGATGATTTAGCAGAGCGATTTAGCAATTCTGAATACTATAATTATCAGGAAGGAGATTCCCCAAAAAGTTTTGTCACAAAACAGCTGACTGATGGTTGCGGTTAGAAACGCGTTCGCGGAGATTTGTTAATTCTTGATCGGTTCCGAATCCCGCATGCGTAGCATGGTTCGTGATTATTTACCCTATACAGATACGGAACTAGTCATGGATGGGCTCCGCGAACAAAGCTAATATTCCTCGTTTTGTCCTTTTTTTAAAAGGAATAGAGGAATTTATATAAAGCTATTATAAATTTTAAGGTTACATAACCTATTTGTGTCGTCCACGTGTTTAATAGACAACCGTTGTCCAATGGTTTTTGGGTCTTCTGGAACCATTGGACGTTAAAACTTGTATCTGGTTAATAAGGATTTTTGTCCAGGACCACAAGGGCGGTGGTTAATCCATAAATCCGCCCTAAGTTGAAGAAGAAGAAGAAGAAAGCTTCAATAGAAAAAACACTAAATATTTTAAAAGTCTTAAGTTCCTCAAAAAATTTAAATAATTAAATCCATTAAAAATCCTAAAAGCATTTACAACTACCTATCATTGAAATCTTGAAAATTTACTGTAATTTTCTTATGACGTTTTCAAAATAAAAAAATAATTTTTCGTTTAAACCTGTATATTATAAACGTACATCTATTTTTTAGTAATTTTTTTAAAATGTGAGCGATTGTACATTAATTTATTTACAATATTCTTTAATATTCGTTTAAATCCGACATCAAATAAAAAAGTTATTTGCGATTGAAATTCATCGAAAATTTGTGTGGATCCAGGGCCATATTACCCATTAGGCAGGCAAGGCAATTGCCTTAGGCGCCATGTAGAAATAGGCGCCTTGTCCCCAAGCAACTTAAAAAAAAAATAAAAATTGTTACCAAAATGTTTATTTTTTTCCAAAAATAAAACAAATAAACAATATAAACAATATAAAATTGTAAAAACAGAAAATTATTTACTGTTTTTATTATTTTATAAAAATTTAGCTTCCTTTGTAATAACGAGGTGTAAAGCCGACAAAAAAGCGTGCCGCAAATTCACTTCTGTTTTTATGCCAAATACATAAATGTATTTCAGATAAAATTAATCAGGTGTTATATCACCATGCTTGATTACGAGGGCACTGCGTTTTGAAGTAGAATAAGATATATTATAATTAACTGTATAATTAACAAATAATAATAAATCTTAACGTTAAACTGCAAACAAAAACTTAAAAGATAATTTAATTTGAAAACTTTACCCTGTATAAACATATCTTTAGCACTTTTTCAAAACCCCCGTATGCTCCAAGCACACGGATTCCTCTTGCATCGGGTACCCGCTGTAATGTGCTGCTCACCCCAGCGGGTACGCGATACTAGAGGAAACTGCTGCCGGAAGGACTTGGGTGTTTTCGCGTTTATTCAAGGGTGGCACTTATATGTGTTGTGTTTGGTGATAGCAGTCTGTGTTCGATAGTTATGGTTGATTTAGCCTGGCTTTTAAATTAAATTACGTTTCGTTAGATTACGTTACACAAAATGCTGGCTAAATCCACATTTAGATAGTGTTAATTTTTCTGTTTGTTTTAATATTAAACTAATTACAATAAACCAGCAGTACATCTAACATACAAATACAGAAAATTAAAGTTGATTCAATTTTTTTTAAATACTTACTAATGACATCTTGCAGAAAAACGCACTTATAAGTTCTAACACTTTTTATTTACATTATATTTGTATGTTATTTATGTTTTTTATGTATTTTTTTAATGATAAAAAGTATTCTAATTCATAGGGAATAATTAGGTTATAATGCTCGGGCGCCCTTAAGCTAACAGTTTGGGGTGGCTCTAATAAGCTTTTTTAAAATCTAAGTGCCTAATTTAAGTGCCTAAGGCGCTCAATTGCCTTAAGCCGGCTCTGTGTGGATCGATTATTTTGCCTGTGAGTGTAGTAAGATTGCTAATTAAACGATTATTATATTTTATACTCTTACTATTACAAGTAGGGATAAAATGGATATCCGGTAACTAGATTTACCAATAGCTTATATTTTCAACCCTTTTTAACCGATTTAATATGCATTTATATTTTCTCTACGACTACTTAAGAATAGTAACATTCTAGTGTAATTTTTGATCATAGAAAGGATGTTTTTCTGCAATACTGTGCGAGAATATTCCTACTCTTGTTTAAGAATGGTCACAAGTAACGACATCTCCTGGCTGTTTACTAAACGTAAAAAAATTAAAAATATTTAAATATTACTGTATTATTTATTAATTAAAAAATAATAGCAGTTGTATAATTAAGGTTTAGGCACAAACAAAAAAAAAAATATATATATATATATTGTTTTTCAAATATACAAATCAAAATTATAATAAATTTGATATTAAAATGATAAAGCAGTTACCTACTATACCGGCTTTGAAGTTTTGACAGATTCAAAAAATTTAAAAAAAGACCTTTAAAATTAAAATGTAGAAAAAGAATAGATGTTGACATAGATTACTTGTAAAATTAGTTTTGTATTTTTTACAATGTTATTTTTTTTATTAGTTAGTGTAAATAACTATTTTTAATTATAATAAAGATTTAGGCATACCATTTGTTTAAATTTATTATAATTTACATTATAAAATTGTGACGGCACTAAATGGTTTGACAATATAAAAAACTTAAATGTCAAAAACTGCTTGGTTTCTTTTCTCTGTTTAAAATTATATAAGCGTTACTATTCTTACGTAGTCGTAGAGAAAATAATGTCTGAAACACGTTTGGAATAGCATATTCCACTCTCGTAAAACCGTCACACTCGCCTTCGGCTCGTGTGTCAAATTTTTCCTCGAGCGGGATATGCTGTATTCCAAACTTGTTACGGAATGTACTAACTAATCTTTTTTTTTTCAGGTTGGAGGTTTCGATCACGTGTTGTCCAACCTATTCCCGCTCCAGCACACGATTCCGTCGCCCCAAGCGACCGTCACGGCCGCCTCCAAACTCAAGGACGCGGCCAAGAACGCATCGGAGCTGGCCAAGTCCAAGGCCGCCCCGATCTACGCCTCCCTGCACCCCAACCAATCATAATCATTGTTAAACGGGGAAAACGTGTTAAGTAAAGGTATTTATTTCCCTACCATTAAAATACAGCTCTACATTTACAATCGCCTAAACCATAATTTTTCTAATTGTTGTGTTTAGTAATTTAGTACAATTTATAGGTAAGTAAATGTGTGCAGGGTGATGCAACCATAGGGGTTTTTATTAAAAAATGTTATTTTTAATTTGTTTCTGTTCTGTTCTAATTTTCGCATCACCCTGTATTTAACTGGGTAAAACTATAGTAAAGGAGAATTCCAAAATAAACTAGCCAACTAAGGAAAGTATTTAACATTCCTTCTAACTCCTTATATCATAATAATTATATAGAATTAACTAAATAGATTTTAGTTATGCATTTCATACAAACAGTTTCCTATTTTTTGTTTCTTTACTGGTAAATGAATAAATTTACAATAAAATTGTATAAACTAGTCACGACTTTATTCTGATTAAGCCATCAATATGTGTATATATTGTATTTAGGTTTAGATTTAGGGTGGTAATCATGTAATTAAGTTTCTGTTTAATAAATTTTTTAGTTGAAAATATCACGTTGTTTCTTTGAAAATATGACCGCTCTAGTTTTCAGAATTACATTAATAACTAGTAATAAATAATAATATTTTATGGTTACCTATGTTTTTTATTTAAATTTGCTTTTGTTAATTTTTTTATTTATGGCTATAATTATTCAGATTGTGTTTTACGTCAAGAATATTTTTTCTAATGTTTAACTTTTGAATATTTTTTTTATTTAATTCATTAGATAAAAAATATCATGTAAGAATTTTGCGAATTAAAAATATCATAGTAGATAATAAAATATTAAATTTAATTTTTATGCCAAACTGATATTTTTAATTGAGTGAATTTAAAATATCTGTTTCTTATATTTGTATTTTTTATTTAAACACATATTTTTAATACGCTAAATTAATATCACACTCAATTAAAAATACCTGCTTATTTAATAAAATAAATATTAAATCTAATTAAAAATATCAGTTTGGCAAAAAAATTAAATCTAATTTTAAAATATCTGCTATGATATTATTAATTCTCAGACTAAAAATTCTTATGTGATATTTTTTATCTAATTGAAAATAGGGTTAGCACATAAAATTAATTTCTGAATAAAAAATAAAACTTCGAAAATTTTGATAAAAATTATTATTAAAATTCCAAATACGGTTTGAGATCTGTATAATTACAAAAAATAATTATTTATAATATACCTACTAGGGATTGCATTACCGGTTACCGATTTACCGGTTTACCGATTTACCGCCTTAAAAGTTCTTTAAATTACCGACGAAAAAATCGACATCTTTTACCGGTAATTTCGGTAAAAAATGTCAAGCTGACAACAGCGCGGATCCGTTGTTTTTGTGAAACAATTTGTACTAATAGTCCGGTCAAATTAGACCAAAAAATAACAGTGAAGGTACATAAATTTACAACAGGCTGAAAATCAGTAAAATTGTTCAGAATATAATTATAAATAAAATTTAAAAGTTCCCCATCATTCCCCTGTATGGAAAAAATTTTATTCAAGGTCAAAGGTCAAAAAAATTAGTTTTTAGCGATTTTCAGCAAAACGGGAAGTTTTATCACAAAAATATCTCTGACAAAAATTGTAGACCATAAAATTGTCTATAAAAAATATATCGATACTTTTTTTCCTAAGAGCCACCGTTTCTGAGATATAACGATTCGAAAAGTTGTAAAAGTTGTAATCGACATAATATACATGAGTACGTCACGTATATATACATGTATATATACATCTCTAGAGTTTTAATATATGTTAATATATTTTTCTATCGGTCATTTTCACTTACACTTAAAATATAAAATATACCTACATAAGTTATAACTATAAGAATATCAAGTGAAATAAAACCGTCCCTTAGGGACTGGGTATAAATTAATTAATTTATACGCCATCGAGACAACATCTGTGACAGATGACAGATGATCTGTCATCTGTCAACTTGACATCTGTCACCTGTCATCTGTCATCTGTCATCTGTCACCTGTCATCTGTCACCTGTCACCTGTCATTTGACCATGTCAAATGCCACCTGTCATTTGCCACCTTATCGATTTGATTTCGGGGATTTTAATTGGTTAACTTTTTTAAATACACAACAAAAATTAAACGGGCTTCTGGCAGATTAGTTTTCATTCGATAAAGCTCATCTTTTAGTATGTCGAAAAGATCGAAAAGTTTCCGGCGGATCCGGCCTGTTGCAATATTTATTTTTTCCGTTGTCTGCTAGTCTGTATATCCTTTTTTTTTTCTAAGCGCCGTAGCTCGGAGGCCGTTGAAGGCGGACACTCGAAATTTGCATCCTTCTTTATGCCCACGAGACCTATCCGCGAAACAAATTTTTCCGGTGTTGAAAAGGCCCAAGTCCACTTTTTTTCGATTTTTCCGTCAAATTTGGCACGTTCCGTTGTCTTCGCTTAACATTCGAACGAGCGAAGATTTTTCGGCCAAACTCGAGGAAAAGGTGCAAGAAGTTATCACCAACGGCATTCGATTTCTTCTTTCTATATACGGAGCTCCTAAAAAAACTACCTGCTTTGATAAGTATCGATATGCATGTTTCGTTAAAAATACTAAAATAAAAAACAAGTTCAATTAGCTTGTCTTCCTCCAACCTCAGTTGCTGCTCATCAAAATATTTTTCGGGTATATTACCAAGTTCAAGTGTGGCTTGGTTATCAGCTAGACCCTACAGACTGGGGTTGGAAGTTGGTTAACAACCCATTAGAACCAGTTTAAACTTTACTCACACCTGCGTTGAATCACCAACAGTGGAGGATTAATTTAATTCCAACGAGGTGACATGCGATACATCGCTACTGACGCAATTTACTTGTACCCAGGATGAAGAAGAAGAACAAGAACAAGTAGAAGAATAAGAAGAAGAATTTAAATGTTACGAATCAGACTAATTAACTTCAGTACTTTTTTTAATTTACATCGCTTTTATCTTTTCCAATCATTGCTAATTTCCGTTTTTTGCAATAGTTTCAAATTAAACAGGATCACAACTGACCCGTGGAATAGGCTACTGGGGAAACCACGTTAAAAAACGCGCTAAGTACACTACCTCATAGGTGGCGTGGAAACGTGTGCAATGCACACTGTGCATATTATGACGATTATAACTTTTACAACTTTTCGAATCGTTATATCTCAGCAACGGTGGCTCGTAGAAAAAAAGTATTGATACATTTTTTATAGATAATTTTATGATCTACAATATTTTTTTGGGGTATTTTATGATAAAATTTACCGTTTTGCCGAAAATCGAGAAAAATCATTTTTTTGACCTTTAACCTTGAATAAAAAATTTTCCATACAGGGGAATTATAGGGAACTTTAAAATTTTATTTATAATTATATTCTGAACAATTTTACTGATTTTCAGCTTGTTGTAAATTTATGTACCTTCGAATGTCTAGATTGACCGGACTATAAGATTAGGTCGCGGCTAAGTGATAATAGTATTGATAAGCTGTGTTTTCTCAGGGCCCTCTTTATTAAACAAAAGAAATCGAAAGAGTCGTTGGAAAAGTAAGAAACGATAGGTATTTTTTTATTTAAATTACTATTTCAAATGTTTTAGGGCCTGTTACTAGTCTTTAAGTTAGGTATACACGTATTAGTTTTTTTACCTAGAGTTTTACTTTTCTGTTGTTATTATTTAATAAGAATTAAAGTTTGGTTATTTATTTTGTTGCTTATTTCTTTGTTATTTTTTATGTCGGTAAAAACCGGTAAACCGGTAATTTCTTAAATAATTTACCGAATTACCGGTAAATTAAAATTCGGTAAATTTGCAATCCCTAATACCTACTTGGGAAATTTTTTTGACGAAAATATAATACAAGGAGTTAAAGTTGCATATATTTTTTGTAAAAAATCATTTCTCCCAAACCAAAGATTTAAGATTTTTAAACTTGAATTCCTAAAATCAATAAACTACCAGGCAAAAAAAATAATATTTTGATTTTACATTAATACAATTTATTCATATAGCATTAGTTGTTTTAAGATTCCAAAGGTGTAAATAAATTCAATAGTTAATTATCGTTCTTATAAAAAAATTATATAAAAACTTTAAATTACTGTAAAAAATGGATTTTGATTAAAAAAACGTAATTTCCCATGAATTACATAAAGGATTTTGCACATCTTTCAAGGTGATACCAGTTATAATAATAATAATTAGGTAATCTAAGAATAATTTATATGAAATCCTACAAATTAATAACAAGAAACTAATTAAAAAAATACATAATTTAAAACATATTTTTAGCTGATTTCATTTATTAAAAAATAATTAATATTAAAATTAACATTTACAATATTTTGGATTATTAAAAATCGATAAAAATAGGTTTATTTTTTAAAAACGACACTTAACAAAATTGTCCACAATAATTTAAATTAAATACCTATATTTAAGGTTAAACTAAGGTCAAAGATAACACCTATGTATATTATTAAAATCCAGTTAATTTTATGTTTTGATCAAATTGATTTAAATTAAATTAATTACATATCTTTGTGTTTTACCTTTTATACGGGGTGTCCCGAAAACATCTCAAATGTTTTCTAAAATTATTACAAGTTGGAAACACTGGGTATGGCATTAAATAAAATTGTTGATCAATGATAAAATAAAGGTCAAAAAAATTGTTTCTAATTTTTATATTTAAAATAAAAATATAAATATAAATATTCTTTTACTTTCCGACAAATTTAAGTTAATAGTTTAATACTGGTTGTGAAAACAATTCAAATTAGTTGTCAAAAAATCAACATAACTTTTTATATAAAAAATATACCTACTTGATATATTAAAAAATAATTTTATCTATTTTGCGTTTATAATGACTTTATTATATCACCGCTTTCGGTGCTGTAATGAGATACTTTATCCCACCCAAAATTTTGATTTTATAGGTTGGCTATACTTAAACAGCATAATATTTTGCACATTGGTTATAATATTTTTATGATTTTTCTAGTAATTTTGTTTAACACCAAAGAAAATCCTTTTTTCTTCTTTAATATTAACAGCCGCTTATTGTAAATAAGTAAATTAAGGACGGCATGGCGAATCGATTTTGACATTAACTGTCAAACCAATGACTAAACCAACAATCTAAAGTAAAATTCGACCAAATTAAATTTAAGGTATAAAATTAATTTA